TTTTCATTTTTTCAGTTATTTTTAATTTTTAATTTTTTGTCATTTTCAGATTTATTGGAAAAATTAGCCGAAAAACCATCGGAAAGTCACATTAATTACTTTTTTTTTGTAAATGAAGAAAAGTAATAAATAAAACAAAATTAAAAAATTATATTAATAAAATATCAAAAATAAAAAAACGTTTTATGCTATTAATTCGTTTTGCTACCGACAGGATGAAACTCTATGGAAGACATGATCCCTTTTCGGGTCTCTTTAGGTTGAAAATGACTTCGACTACCACCGCACCACGTACTGCAAAGTTGCAACCTAAATGAATGATGCAACCAATGGTGTTTAACTAAGAAAACTCAATTTCAAGGACCAAATTGTACAAACGTTCCTTGAATATATGTCAATTAACATCTCATTATTTTTCTTATTTCAAGCTTTAAACTATTTTTTTTAGCTCGCACACTCGAGTCTCTTAAAAGAACCAGTCTGTTAGGATTTGAAGTTATATATTTTTATTATAAAAGATTACCATCACTAGATTATGAACTCTTTGATTTGCAAATTTTAAACTATAATCTGTGATTTATTGACATCTTTTTCACAAATTAACTTATGATATATATTGATTATCATTATGTAATTGTTGCTGCATACAAATATTTTTCTCTTCTTAATAGATACTAAAAGTTGGAGCCATAAGAAATAAATAAAATTACATTTTCTTTGTATTTAAAATTTGAGAAATTAATTATTAAATACATTGAAAATCGTATTGTTTTATCTCATATATATAATACCCACCTTGTTACTTATGGACTCCATCTTTATGTGAGGAAAGGATTCCAACTCCTAAAATTATACAAATATAACTCAATTATTTGTGTAATGGTTCTTTTAGTATATAAATCTTATTTTTCCAATAATTGCAAGTTGAAATTTGCATTATTAACTACCAAAATAAAAAAATTCATAAAAAGAAATATGAGAAGAATTTCCCAAAAACTTAATCCATGATCACTGTCATTCAAGAATTATATAATAATTTTTATACTAGAAAAACTAAATAATTGATTTCAATAAACTATAGGGACTAAATTATATAACCAACACACCATTACTCCCAATTTTCCTTTTCCTTTTTCTAACCAAACCATAAAATACTAATCATAATATCATAGTCTTAAATGATATACGGTTGAAAAAATGATTGCGATTGCTTATTGCGAATCACGATTTACTATAATATTAAAATAATAATAATAAAAGGTTTTGAAACTATTAACGGTCATTATTTAAAATTATATACACAACACTCACAAACAATCAACTAACACAATACTATACATGCAAAATTCTTAAACAGCCTGAAGTTTCAAATTCATTTATCGTAAATAAGAGAGTAATCAGAGAGTCTATGTTGTGGTGCTTTATCCTTCAACATAATTCTGCTCTACTTTGGCAGTATATGGTCGCCTCTTTGTTGTTGAATTAGATCCCTCGGCAAGTACTATATTAGATGGATTTATCAGCCAATTTGCTTGGGATTTGTAAAAGGCAGCCATGGATTTACCGTCAAACGTCTTAGCGATGCTGACTCACAACAAACTACGTTTTTTAAAGTTCATCCAATTTCCCACAAGTTTAACCAGACAGACGGCAGAGCCTCAAGCAAGGTTTACCTAGTTATATAGTTGGCTGATCAAGGCTTAAGAGAACGGCAAAGCCAACTCCTAATTAATTAAGCACGTCCAATGGAAAATATCTTGCATTTTTCACATTCCCATTCAATAGCCATTTTCTCCAAGGCACTAACCAAAACAGACGTCGCAAACCCCCTATCAATCCCAACGAAGTCCTTGAAACATTTGCCAGATTTCGAAGGCAAACGTGTAGTGGACATTCAAGTCAAGGACGAGAATGGTTACTTTTGGACCTTTGAGTGTTCCATTCGCCAAAAAGGGAAGTACCCAAAACCAGTTCTTTCTTCCAAGAATTGGCTTCCTTTTGTTCGTTTCAAGAAACTTAAAGTTGGCGACAGAATCGTGTTCTATAAAAGACAAGATGAAGCTACTGGAGCCCATTACAAAATCGAAGTTCAAAGAGCCGTCCAAGTGTTTGGTGTCCTTTTAGGTTAGTCGCGTCCCATATGAATATGCATGCATGTGTGTGTGAAATAGATTGTGCTGCTATGTATATATATTAAGGATCTTGTCTGCTTGGCTGAATAAGAAGAGCTTCGTGTTTGCCTACCAGCAAATGTAGTCGTGGATCTATGTTGCTTGGAGCGAGCCTGCAAAGGTTTACCTCCTCTTCCTCCGGGTATTTTCGTCCTGTTAGGGTTATGCGACACTTTTAGCTACTTGATATTCTTCGGTATTGTATTCGTGTTTTATGGAGTGTTTTCTCTTAATTAGGCTGCTTTAAAAAGTTATTATTATGAACCTAAGATGGTTGGCTTGAATAGAAAAAAATTTTAGTTATCTAAAAAAATGATCTTTTAAGTTTGAATATTTATATATAGAAAACTTTTTTAAAAAACTATGTTTATATTACACGTTCAACAAAACAACAGAAGATTAATTTAAATTTTAAGTTTGAGATATTCAGAAATTTCAAAAAAAAAAATTATTAAAATATGCTTGACCTTTTTTATGTTTATAAACTGAGGATGTTAAAAACTATTGAAAATCATCATATAGAACCTTTTCAATGCAGACACCTTTTTGTAAAAATTCTTGCAACTCATAAACTTTAAGTTGCATGAATCGTTGGAATATTGGGTTTTAACACAAAGGAGCCTCTTAACCTAATGAATTAACCTAAGTCTTCTGGTTCCATTCTCATGCTCCAAATAGCAGCCTCTCTTCTTTTGTTTTTGTTCTTATTGTGCTTTGATTCTTTATTTCTATGGCTAAAAATATTTTTATATTAATTTTTGAGCCAATCGAGATAAAGTTTCATCTTAAATTGATTTTAATGACACATTTTTTCTATCAATATCTACTATAATCAGAAAATAAATTTTTATAAATATTAATTTTTAGATTCGAACTTAAAAAGTCAAATATCAAATAAAAAAAACAAATCTCATTGACCATCGATTTACTCCTTAAAGTTGCGATTCCAGGTTACAACTCAAGTAAACTATTTGGAACTGTTGTTGACTAGAATATCTCAATTTTTATGAACTAAATTGCACAAACATTCCAGGAATTACAAGTACTTTTCATTGGCATCTCATCGTAATTTTTCTTACTTTCCTTATTTTATTAACATCTCCTTTCATGTAAGGTTAGTTGCATTATAAATACACTAATTTTTTACTTTTTTTCTCAATGGGGTACATAAATTTTATTCTTTTATTTGAGTATATTGATTTTTTTAAAATTATCAATCAAGTACTTCAATTAAATTTTTCATTAACTAATGATGCGTCTATTATATTTAAAATACTAAATTATAATTTTATCCTCTTTTTTCTCCATCAAATATATAAACTTTACTTTTCTTATTTGAATAAACTGATTTTTACAAAATTACAAATCAAGTACATTTATCAATTTCTTCGTTAAGTGATAATGTGTTCGTTATGTCTAGAATACCAAATTATAGTTTTATTCCCTTTCTAGTGAAGGAAACTTCCCCCTAAATACTCACAAATAATGAATCTTTTTGATAAAAAGTCTCACATTTGTGTTTTTTTTTAATTTTTCATGCCTCAATGTAATTGAGTTTTTTTTTAACAACAAAATTAACTTAGTTTAGTTTGAAGTTTTATAGATAAAAAATAGTATTTTTTATTTTTTGTCAAATTATGGAATGGTAGGATAATTTTGAGGGTAAGTTCCTTCCAATAAAAAGAAGACAGATTTATAATTTGGTATTCTGAAAGTAATAGACATTTTCTTAGTTAATAGAAAAATTGATTAAAATACTTGATTGACAATGTTAAAATAATTGATATATCAAACGAAAAAAATTAAAATCATTGCACTCTATTGAGAAAAAAGAGAAAAATATAATTTGATATTATAGATATGATGAACATGTTATAAGTTAATGGATAATTTAATGAAAGCATTTGATTCACGAGTTTAAAAAAATTAATGTACTCAAATAAAAAAATAAAATTCATATATTTAATTAAGAAAAAAATAAAAATCGATGTATATATATAATTGAGGTCATATGAAAATCTAATTACGAGAGAGAAGAATATCATCGTATTTTCTCCAAATATAGACCTGCCATATTACTTAAAAATTACTTTATTCTCAGACCGGTATTCTCTTCTCTCATATCATATAAATATAGACCATATTACTTATGAACCCTACCTTAATATGAGCGGAAGAATTAATCCTAAAATTTATTGATTTTCTTAATAAGATAACCATATTGTCCATAACTTTCGATTATTTGTGAAATCGTCCTTCTAATAAATCCTACATTTCCAAAAAGTGCAAGTCAATATCTGTGTATTCCAAAACTGCATAGAAGCATTTTGCAAGAGAAATTTTATACAAGATTTCTCAAAAACTACTAAATCCAAAATGACCAATACTAGCCAAGGACTCAAGGGAATATAATAATAATAATAATAATAATAAAAGAACTATTTAATTTTACCAAAAAAAAGGGGACTATTTGATTAATTTTAATTTATATATAAAAAATTGATAAACTATATGGACTTAAATATATAAAGAAAATAATCTAATTTAATTTGCTTGATCCAACGGCTCTAAAGCCCCAACATCAATACCAAACCAAACCCATGCCCCTAGACCATTATGTCCGTTGAGGTTTCTCTCTCGCTCTCTCTCTCCGTCTGACTCTGACCCAGGTAGTAATCTTCCTTTTCCTGTATAAAACGCTAAAAACCCTAGCTATTCATCCTTCTCTTTATGCCCAAAACCCCAGTTGCCAATACCGTAAACTTAAGCCCTAGTCTCTTGTCGTTTAAGCCTCGACAAGTACTGTTGCTCTCTAACAGACCACCAACCATGAAACAAGAAAACAACGGCAACAAAACGGAAACTTTAAAGCCTGAACAGAAGACACTTTTGCTTCACTCTATAGCTAAGTATCTTGAAAACACCGGTGGGTTTTCGAAAACATTAAAGAAGTTCAAATCAGAAGCCAAATTTGAGGTATACAAAAGCAAATTCACACATTCTCTCTTTCTCTCTCTTGCTTTATCAAATTATGCAAGTTTAGTTGAGAGATGTAAATATATATTTTATTAGCGTTTTTGAGTTGAATTTGTGTTTAGGTAAATGCGTTTTTTGCGGATTTGGCTTGACGTTTATGCATTAGGTGCATATGAGATGATTGAGGTTAATGAAGCCTAATGTGATGATCTGCCTGTGTTGTGCTGTAGCGTTTTGGTTGTTCTTTGATTTGTTTATTTGTTTTGGTTTTGGTTGTTTCAAATGTGTAAAGTTGTGTTCTTTGTGCAGAACGATGATTTGGGTGGTGGTTCCTTGATTGATTTGGAGGAGGTGTTTTGCAAGTTTTTGAAGACGAGGTAGGATGAATTTAAATTCTCTGTTTTTATTTTGGTAATTATCTGAGCTAAATACTGTACAAAGGGATTTTTTTAATGGATTTATAAGGATATAACACGGTGTCTTGGATTTGATATGAAAACAATGCACAGGCATTCTGTCGGTCGTCAAGACTGTGCAATGAATGTGGTTATCAGATTCTCCTGAATTTAAGTTTTGTTTTGTTTTTCTTGTTTTAAGAGTTAAATTTGAATGATCATTCTCAAATTGCTTGACTTAACGTATTTTTGCAGTGACGACACCAGCAAAAAGTTAGAGAGCAACCAGGTGCAAGGTCTGTTTAATTCTCCAAATGAAATTTCTTGTCTAGTAGGCAACTGTATCATAGTTTTCTACATTGTTCGAATGTTGATACTAGCTCACGGTCTAGTTCTATTTAACTGCAGATATACAGACGACTGATGTCACTAAAAAGAAAAAAAGAGTGATACTGATGCCATGAACAAACAATTAGGAGCTGGTGATAAAGTTAAAAATTCGGAGAGCGTTGAAGAGATTATAACAAATGATACAGTGGCTACTGAAGTAAAGTCTAAAGATAAGAAGAAGAAAAAGAATTCTGATTCTCATGGACAAGAGGAACAAGACAATGCTGAAATTTTGATGGAACTTGCTGATAATGTTGCTGGTGAATCTCCTGATAAAAAATGCAAGGACAAAAAGAAGAAGAAAAGCAAATTGGGATCTGAGTCTCAGGTTGATAATGTTGGACATCATCCATCAGAACCCGTGGTAACAGAAGAAAAATCTAAGGATGTGGCATCTTTAGAGGGAAATAAAGCAACTGATTCTGAGACAGAGAATAAACCAAAGGATAAGAAGAAAAAGAAAAACAAGCTTTCTGATGCTGATGCTGACAGCATTGACAACATGAATGTCAAATCCAAAGGGAAGAAGAAAAAGAAGGATATTGTTGTTTCTGAAAATTTATCAGGTGAGACGCTTGTTGATGACGGGAAATCAAATAAAGTGGATTCTCAAAAGGATGATTCTAAGAACTTGAAGGAGGATGGGAATGTCAAAGAGAATAAAAGTTCCAAGAAGAGGAAAAGATTGCCTTCCGAAGATGATGCCACTCAGCCTGCTGATGCAAATGCAGTTGAAGAATCTAAACGTAGAAAGACAGAAAGTTCAGAAGAATCAAAGGAAAACGGCCAGGCAAATGGGAACCTTGAGGAAAATGGAGAGAAATCAGCACTGCAGAAATCGGTGAAGAAGGAGAAGAATGGTTCTGTTGAGGTATGATTTTGAACACCCAAATTTAGGGAAGCTTGTTACTTTCAACTGAAAATTCCGAAGCTGAATTCCCTTTAAAATTCCAGATAACAGCATGTTCAAATTGTTCCCGTGCTATTAGTTTACCAGGCATTTTATATACATGTGCTTAAAAACCTCTTTGTCCATGTAGTGGAACCAAAACCTGAAGTAGTTATGTCAAACTGGGCTTTGAAAAACTACTGATTTTGTCATGATGATTTCTCATTGTTATGAGCAAAGCTCGTTTGTTAAATCGATGATAGCATAGGTGCGTTTTATAGTAGCATGAATAATTCTGTTCAAGTGTATTATTGGTTATACGTGCATGCTTAGACTGGAACTATGTCATTGCAGCCAAAGACAATTAAGCATTTTCAAAGAGTAAAAGTTGATGAGGTGGCATTCTCTGATGAGAGGCTTAAAGATAATTCATACTGGGCAAAGGTTTGACAAGTTTTCCATTTTTTTTTTTTTTTGAGTTTTCTGGTCCTTCATTGGTTTCTTTTCCTTGAATGTTTTTTGCGCTCTACAAATTCTCTATAGGATGGTGCTGAGGAGGGTTACGGTGCAAAAGCACAAGAAGTTCTTGGTCAAGTTAGAGGAAGGTACATGTTTTTGTTATAGCGTTTATATTTCTTCAGTTTCAGATGCTCACATTATTGAAATGTTTGTCTGCTATTTTATTGTCATTCTTCCACAGAACCATATCAATAATTTAATCGGCAAGTCAATAATCTGATGTAAACTGGATGGCTTGGCGATTCTAAATCTAAATCTAAATTTACTTTAGGAACTCTGTTCTTCCAGTAGTTTTAACTTTCAGCAAGTTTTCCATTTGTAATGCTGATTTAAGCACTACTTTCTAATGTTTCACAGAAAAAGAGAGAGAATAATTGCTGTAAAACGAAGGAACTAAAAGCTGAGTTTTGTGGCTACTAATTTAACCTAGGATTTGGTTATTTTTGGTCATTGCTTTTTTTTTTTTTAATAATTATTTAGAAAGATTGAAAATGTTGAAACTTGACTGTTGTCTGGCCTTCAATATTATCACAAACAATTTTGTTAAAAATTAGTTTGTTGCAAGAGTCACTATTTTAGATTGCTTGTTTTTCGTTAAAGATTACTGCTTGACTTGTACATTATGATTTTGGTTTCCTTATTCTTTCCGATGTGTCTCAAAAAATCTTTTGAGTTTCCTCCCAGCTAAATGCCCTTCTTCTACTTGCTTTGACTTGTGAACTCTTAATATTGATTATGGATGGTGCATTTAGAATGATAAGCAGGGATTCTAATCTCTATTGAGCTTGTTCTGGTAATGCTCTTTCTGACCCTCTGTCCTTCTCTCTCTCAGGGGTTTTCGACATGAAAAAACAAAGAAGAAGCGTGGGACATACAGAGGAGGGCAGATTGATTTGCAATCACACTCAGTTAAGTTCAATTACTCTGATGAAGATTGATTGGAGACCTTATTGGGCTGTGATGGATGCTTGATTTTTGGTCTTCATTTTTGCTTGATGCGCAAAGCATAGCTTTTCATTAATCAATGTGTGGTAATGTATGCTTCTTTAATGATTATTGCCCATTGTTTTGTACTTTTGGCTAGCTTTTGGCAATTTTGCTCCCCCACTTTCTTATATATCTCTGACTTAACTAAAATATTTATGCCATCTATTCTTTATTATCGTTGTTGTTGTTATTTATTGTGCCTTAGGCTATAAAATGGAATAGCCTGTTTTCATTACATAATAATTAAATAAACCGGAATTATTGTGACTCGAGTTTCTTTCACTGAAGGAATTTATCAAATGTATAATTGCTAGGTTACTTCTGCATGCATGTGCATCTATTGTGTTAGCTATTTGAGGTTTTATCCTTGGGCATCAATGAAGATGTGAAGCAATGCAAATCAATTTTGAAAAGATTTAAAGCATAGTAAAAATAAACATCCACCCGTGTTTAAATTTTTATTGAGATTTTGATAATCCTGCTTTTATTAATTGCAACAAAAAGGCAAGTAACATACGGTTTTAATTACATTTATTATGTATTTGAATAATGTTTAAGTCTCTAAATTTTCGTTCCAATCAATTAATTTAACATTTCTTAAAAAAATGGTCGTAGTCATCCACCTGTCTCATTTAGCTATTTACTTTTTAAAAAGAAATGTTAAGTATAGAGGGCATTTCTATATATATATATATATATAATAATAAAATTTTTGCCTATGATAAGGAAACATTGATTGGAATGATAATTTTTAAAGACTTAAGTAGTATTTGGGTACATAATAAATGCAATTAAAAATTCATGATATTATATAAGAATAAATTGAGTTATTTATCCAATTATAAAATACCCTCTTGAGCTTGAGAGAAAAAAATTAAACATCATTTGAACTAAAAAAAAAAAAAACTCTTTATTTTACCTCCTAAACAATATGATTTTTTGTATTATCTATTCTTTTACAATTTTATTGATAAATTGAGGGAAAAATCCAAAAAAAAAAAAATCTCAATTCCTCTATTAGTAAACATTTTTTTCTTCTTTCTAAGTTGGTAGAGAAAATGATGTGAAATGAGATGATTTTAAATGTTTTTTTCAGAAATCTCTCAATAGAACCCTACGGAAAGGACTAATTCAAAAAATTCATATTATTTAAAAGCCAAAATCATGTATTTTTAGTTCAGGATGGTATTTGTTTTGTCGCCCAAGTTCAAGGGGTATTTTGCAATTTAGTCTTTGGAAAATATATATATATATATATATAAAAGAGTAAATACTTTTATGGTTATTTGATTGACTTGACCGACCTGTTTGACTCTGTAGTAAAAACAAACGAGTAATTGGACAAAACGTCGTTTGTTGTTCATCGTCCACCCTCGTTTGTCTCTTTTGTTTTTGTTTTTGTTTTTAAATTATTAGGTTGCGCCTATCCAGCCCAAGCGTGCAGGTTTATTTTACAGCATTTGTAACCTCCTCCCTAAAACACTTATGCTCTCTGTATTAATTCACGCTTCTATTCTTGCAGGATCTATTGTTTGAATACTTCTAAAAAAAAAAAAAAAAAAAATTTAGTGCTCTACAATGCTCTTTAATTTCATTTTGAATCAGTCCTATTTTGGCAACAATTATAGAAACTGGCATGATTGTGATAAAATCAAACTTTTGCATTAGAAGATAATGAATTTGATTCGATATTTTTGGATTTCTACAATAGATTTTAGCATATTTTGAGGTTTTAAATATTTTTGGAATGATTTTAAGGTGTTTTGGAGCACGCTTGGTGTAAAATAATTGTCACTCTAGTTTTCAAATTTCCGAAAGTTTTGGTAAAAAAGTTTGTTGGACGAAGCGTCGTCTACTGTTGAAGGAGATGTGTCGTCTGCCCTCATTTCTCTCTTTTTTTTTTTTTTTTTTTTTTAATCACTAGGTTGCGCCTATCTAGCCCAAGCGCGCGGGTTTATTTTACAGCATTTGCAGTCTCCTTTCCAAAACTCTTACGTTTGCATTAATTTCGCTTCTTTCCTTGCAAGATCTATTGTTTGAATACTTCTCAAAAAAAATAAAAATAGTGTTTGAATCAGTCCGATTTTGGCAGCAATTATAGAAACTAGCAGGATTGTGATAAAATCTAACTTTTGCATTAGAAGACAATGAATTTGATTCGATATTTCAAGGCGTTTTGGAGTAAACTTGGTGTGAAAAAAGGGTGTAGAAGGCCAAGACAATTGTTCCTCCAGTTTTCAATGACAAATTTCCAAATTCTAAAAACTTCCGGTTACCAAAATTTTGGGAAAAAAAGGGATCGGACAAATCGTCGTCCGTTGTTGTAGGCGACTCGTCGTCCACCCTCATATATATATATATTACTAGGTTACTCCTATCTAGCCCAAGTAATCTTGCAGCATTTTTAGCCTCCTCTCCAAAACTCTTATGCTCTCTGCAATAAATTCGTGCTCCTTTCCTGGCAGAGTAACATCGCAATGCGACATGAATTTGATAAATTGGCTCAAAGCATTGTGCCTAAGCATGACTTCTTTAAAAATTCAATTCGTTTTATCATTTTTTTATAAAAGAAAATCCCAATTTTTTTTTTAATCAAAAGTTAAATTTGTTTATTTTATTTATATTAAAAATAAAAAAATAAAAATAATAATTCAAAAAAATCCTAAATATTTTTAAAGAACCTTATATAAATCTCATTTAATGATTTCCATCTTGAAATTATCTTTGATTGTAATTTTTGAGATAAATGACAAAATATTGAAAGATGCACAAAATTTTAAACAATTAAAAATTCAGAGATTCTAAAATCTAAATTTGAAATTCAATGATTTCAAATGGATTGAATTTTTTTTAAAAAAAAAGTTTGACCCATTTAACAAAAAAAATAAAAGCTTGAGCACTAGGTTGGACATTAAAAAAAAAAAAACAAACAAACAAACAAACCTAAAGGATTGAACATTCAAATTCCAGTTTTCTCAGACTATTATTGTCCAAACAAGGAGAGGAAAATTTGCATCATGCGGCACCATTGTTTGTTATTTCATGATCATCCATACAAATACAATGGTGCAATAGAAGATGAGCATCAATCAAGTTATCCGGATGCTTGTCATCTTCTTTACAATCCATGAACTACAAGAAGAGTTGAGTTCGTACGACCACTAGAATCAGAATGCTAGAGAATACAAAAATCAGGTATCGGATCAAAATTTCAACACAGTTTATTGGAAATAACAAGGCTGAAGACTTAGCCTAATAAATAATATATGAATCGTGATTTACCAGGTAAAAATTTGGTAGTAGTATTACACTAACTTTAGTACTTAACTCCAGTCGATCCTCATCTGCAGTAATCAAGATGATTGGCATTTTATGATGGAGAACCGTTTCACCTCTTCTTATTTTTCCTTCTTCCCTTTACTTCTTTCTCTAGACTTTTTATTCTTTTACCGATTCCTGAAGATGAAGACTTTTTGTGCTCCAAAAGCTTTGGTGGTTCAACGGGCAGTGATGGGGTAGGTTCCTTTCTGGCTTTTGAGAGTTGTTTGAGTGCTGAAAACAGATCAAAGGAAGATTTTGTGGCAGTACCTGGTGGTGGTGCAGGTGCCTCTGGAACACCCAAGAATTTTTTTACCTTGGGAGACTTGACCACTGAAATACAGATAGAGAATTAGGTAATGAAGGGGATTAAAGTGAACGGAAAATAAAATAAATGTCCAAAGCCAAGTTCTCCACTGATCTTTAAAGATTGCACAGAAAATTAAAAGGAAAAAAAAGATTTAAGAACTTTGAAAACTCACCTAACCCATATCCAAGCGAAAACAAGTTCGAAGTAACCCAATAACAAAATACAGCCTGCAACGACAACCTCGAAATTTATAAGACTCAAAAACAAGCAATTTACTTCTCAAACTATAAATAAGGGAAGACAGAGGCAATGCTGAATCTGGATGAGAGCCAGAGACTAACAGAAAAGGGAAGAGACAGGTGGGGCTGCAGAGCCTAAAGCCACCATTTAGGGGGATCTAATGAAAGACAACCTTTCCTTGGAAACTCATTTATATATTCCATTTCCTAAAGAAAATCTCAACTTCCAAGATGCAGATGCAGTAAACAATATGATCTCATAATACCATCTACTTGGCAAACACCATGCAAGCGATCAAAAGATAACCTTTGGGAAATTCATAGTCAAAGGAACTGAAGCAAGAGCAAGGCCCCTCGAAACATTTTTCATGGTGCCAGCAGCAGAATTTCCTTCCATTCCTTCTTGCATGTTACACTGCAGAAGAACACAGATTAGTCAAATTAATAACAAAAATCTAAACCAAGTAGAAAAAGATACAAGCAATTTTGCAATTTTTTTTAAACAAAAAATAACCAAGCTCTAAAACATAACCACCAAACTGGATAGAAAAAGAATCTACCTCCACTGTTATCAAGAAAGTTAATGCTGTCAAAACTGGAAAGATGTACAAATCATCTGGGGTTGCGAGGTCAACGAACCAGAATGCTCCACCGCTTTTAAAGGATGGCACTTTTTCTGCCATGTTCGAAATCTGGGGGAACCATTGTCATGTCATAAAAAATGCGACGATCAAATATAAAAGAAAAATTACTCATGTGCAGTGTATTTAAGGAGAGAAGTTTAGCTTACAGCAAGGAAAAAGCTGACAAAGATAGGACCTGAAATAAAGAGCCCCTTCAGTGGAGTAAATGGACTCACACCATGTCTGCAATTTGTAAGTCAAAATGAGCTAAATTTTCTAGGGAAATTGAAAGCTGTGAAGGGCAGAAGTATAATGTATAGAAACTTGACCTGCTTACTGTCATCGAGCTTCAATGAAAATACATTTAGCATTATGTAAAACAAAAAGGAATGGAAAAGGTGAAAACCTCATCCTAAAGAAAAGTACAAATTGATCCTCTAAGCAGGACTTATACAGCAATTTAGCAATACCCTATCTTCTTCAGCAACCTTACACAAAATATAAAGAGCACTTGAATGATACCATGTCTGCAAGTCATCCTAGGTGGTTAACGTCGCATGACTATTAAAATACCAGAGTGGTCAGAATGGACTACGTATAGAAAACAGCTTTGATCCTGTTATATGTGTGTGTGTGTGTGTGTGTGTGTGTGTGTGTGTGTATTTCCCATCAAGAACTAAACTTTTCATGAGGTAGCAAATATACATACAGGGTGAAATACGTTTAAATTCATCATATGAAATATATGTAGCAAATTAAAAGCTATGAGCAGCAATTGAACTTTTCCTCAATGAAGAGTACAAATTAACTGCCTTAAATTCCCCTAGGAGCAAATGAAAAGGATTCTTACTCCTTAAACAACTTCTGCATTTGTTTTTGACCTTCAGCAACAGCAGTGGGGTCCGTGCCCTGAGATAGAGACAGAGATAGTACCAACATGATTGATGAAAGCATTCTGAAAAACAGAAATGTATTATATAAAGCATGCATAGGCTACACCAAACCCTTTTGGTGCATTGTTATATGCATGATATTGCTAGAAAACATTTAGTTTTATTCACATTAAAAAGCGATATAAACACAGGCCAAACAAAAAGTTGCTCAAATAACAAAGAAGATTTTGTTGCAACGGCCTATCTCGCCCTTTTGTTTCAAGCTATCCCCTTTTTATATGGCAATTCCATATAGAGAACAGGGGAAACCACCAACTTATAGAAACCAAGAACTACATGCAAAATGACAAAGCATAACATCTAAAACATAACATAGAATGAGGTAGGGAAGTACAGGCACAGAAAACAGACAAACAATATGTACAAGGTCAACATAGTAAGGATTGATAAAACAATCAAAGAACAAGCATAATACCTGACGTTCCACCCTTTCCTTAACCTCTTCCAAATGTGGTCTTAAGATCTGCAGAATACACATAGATCCATATGAGATTTAAGCATATACACTCTGAATTTAACTTTTCATGCACCAAGAGGAAAATAAAAGATCTTTGTAGAGGGCTAAGAAAGTTGCACCAAGTCATGTAGTAGCAAGAGCAAAAACCATGTTGCAATGCAGGAATACAATGCACTTAATGTTCCACTTGCATTTTTTATTTAACCAACACAATCAATTTCACATCATTGGCCCCAGAGAGAAAACTTAATCTTCTTCTTCAATAATGGTGCCAGCAAGTAAACACATAGGCATCATAACTTAATAGGCTACATACTAGATGTTATACTTTAAAATCCCAGCTAGAGGCTGAAATGCTCCAGCATAATCAACATCATAGAAGATTATATACTAAAAAATGAAAAATATAAGCAATAAATAGGATGCAGGAGGCGAGTGTACAGATGCCACCTAGGATTCAAATGCATGAAAACCTCAAAAATGTTCACAAATTTAAAGCTGACTCTGAACTTCAAAAATAGGATTTGTGGGAGAAACATCCATAGGTATCAAACCATGAACAACATTTCATAAAGTTGAGAAACTTCACTTACTAAATTCTAAAAGCATGTTCTTTTCAGTAAGACCACATGAAATATCAAGCGAGATATTTAACATATTCCTAAAATGCATCTCCAAAACATATCAACAAAAGAAAAACACCATTTGCAAATCACCAAGTAAACAAGCAACACAAAATGACACCAACCACAATGTACACTGCATTCATACATCAATTCCAAAAATTCTTCCCAAAATCTCATTCATTGAACAAGTGGCTTTGCTGACGAACCCCACAAATGCAACGGATGAAAACTTTTCCGGAAGTGATTTCAGGAAGAAAATCTTTCGCATTATTCTTTCCAAAAAACACATAATTCAACAAATAAGCACAACATCATTAACTCGGAAAGCATTCACATTACACCAAAATATCATTAAAACTCACGTGAAACAACTTACGCTAAGTTTTGAAGTAGCTTTCATCTGATTTATCATAAGCGGAACTGTCGCACTTCTAATAAGCAATGTAGTGACAACTATAGAAGCCCACCTACATAATTTGCAGCAAAGCCCAACAAACAATTAATTTAACCTAACAAATTCACTGCGCAAACAATTCCCTATTCTTCGCAATTTTTAATATAGATTAAACATTTGGAAACAATCTTCTTACCAATTGAATTCAGTAAAATTATGAACAGCATCAATAAAATGCTGAAGAGCCGCAACAGGTAAGAAAGAATCCGCCGCAGCAACCGCAACCTCATTCGCAGCAGGAGCCGCCTGCACCACCGTATCCATCACCACATCAATCTTCTCAGCCGCCGCCGCGGCAGTGGTGGTGGTTGACATGTAGCGTACAAAACACGCGCCCGCAAACTGCGAGTGATTTGCTTCTTGAAGTAAATAACCGAATCCGCTTCGATTAGTGTTGAAGTACCTTTGCGGAATGTAATTAGTGGGATTAATCACTGGCTTCGAAGGGTGATTGAGCTGTTCTTGATTTTTGCGGTTTTCGTCTTCGTGGAGAATGTACGTGAAACGCGGATTGTACTGTCGTTTCAAGGTGGTTGAACGAGTCGAAAGACCTCGCATGTAAGCCATTTTGGTAACAGAAATTTGAAGCTCCTTCAGAATTAAATAAACAGAAATTGAGAGTAATTAATTAGCTATTAAGGATGTGATTAAAAATAAATTAAGAATTGTGAAGGTTGATTACCTTTGGAGAGCTTCTGGTTTTTTGTGTTACAGAGAGAGGAGACGGGGGCAGAGAAATGGAGGAGTCAAAAGAGAAGCAAAGGTATTGAAGAGAGATGTTAAGGGGTTTAGGAGGTTTGGAGACGATCGAGGATTTATCAAATGGGCCCTTGGCCCATTTAATTTATTGGCCTTTTCTTTTTCTAGCAGATGAAATAATGTAACCGTATCTAGAGTGAATTATAAATTAGTCCCTCTAGTTTTGAGAAATGAATTGATTAGTCATTTTTAAATAATTATTTAAACTTTCTAGTCTTTCTCATCAATTTTATATCATTTTTAATTTATTTAATTTTTTATTTTAAAAATAGATATTACAAAAAGATTGATGAGAAAAAATATATTTTTTAAAATAAAATAATACTAAATTAAATATGATGTCAAGAAACTAAATAATTAGTTTTTAAAATAAAAAACGACTAATTAATTTATTTATTAAAATAAAGAAATTAATTTATAATTAACTTGGTATCTATATACCAGTAAATGGGACCAAAATAGTATAAAGTATGATATTGCAGAAAATGTGGGTGATTTCAGTAGCTATTGCGTTTATGAGGTCAGTGAACTACTTAATATATCCATGAGCATCACTCATTTGCATAGCAACCATTAATTTGTTACTGATTTTTCATTTCTCCAAATTATAGATGACCAACTTGGATAGTTTTCTTACAAAGAGGACTAATGTATCAGCTAGCCTCATACTTGTAGTTCGTAGAACCATTAGCTTGTATCAGCTAGCATATCTAAATGGCTGTCTTCTTTTCCCTCTTTCCCACCAGTTGGCCTCTTGCCTTCATCGCTAAATTTATACCTGTCCCTAAGTCTCCCCTGCATAAGTTCTTCACAAGGAGATTCCATCGACGTCGGAATTTCAAGGTATGAACCTTATGCTATTTGTCCTTGTGTTTCTTCCCATTGTAGCATGATTTTTTTTTTGCTAATTTTTTTTTTAATGTGTTTTTGCTTGATGTATCTTTCAGGTTAATCGATGAAGGTCATGAAGATTCGTAGTTCTAACATTATCCATCTAATACAAAAGGGCCAATTTTAATTTACTCCCTTGAGGTTTAGGAAAATTCTAATTTCTTCTCGTCAATTTCCTTTCTAAGATTTCAATACTGAATTAAATAACAATTTTTTTTCATCCTCTGAGCTTTTGAAATTTAATCAAATAAAACTATTTTATTGTGAGAAATTTTATATTATTCGAAGAACACCTTTTGAATAATGGCATTATTTGATCAAATATTTTAGAAGTTATAGACCGAAAAACTTTGTTCCGAAATCTAACATTTTCAGATGGAAGATGTAATGAATTGAATTATGAATAAAACTTCGAGAAAGATGTTAATTCAATAAATTGAACTCGCTCAGAACCTCAGGTAACAAATTGAAATCAACCCTTTTGGATTTGGAGATGGAGAGGAACAATTACGCAAGAAACAACAATTTTCTAGTAAGTGATAATGACAGCAATGGAAGAAACAGAAATCCTGCACATTTTTAGAATAACCAACTCTTATTACTGCAGAAATTTGACCTATCTAAAATGCTTTCTAACTTACAAAATTCCTCCGATTTTGAGCTTGGAACCTAAGCTTTCTTTCACGAATGGAGCACGGTACTTTCAACAATGGAAGTACCCCAAAAATGTAGGTACGAGCATAAGCGTCTATGCCCTCTTCATTTTGATTTCTTTCCTTGTTTCTTCTTGATCACTTCGTCAATGTACATTATACCCTTGCCTTTGTAAACTTCAGGAGGCTTGCAACTGCGAACAGAAGCAGCAAACTGGTGCACTCTTTCCTTGTCAATTCCAGTGCAGCAAACTACATTATTCTTGAAGCAGAAAACACGAACAGCTGGAGGAACAGTTAGTTCAACCTCATGACTGTATCCCAGTTTGAGATATAAGAGCCGTCCTTCAGCTTCAGCTCTGGCTTTGTATCCGACACCAACTATCTTAAGAAAGCGAAAGAATTTGGCTTCCATTGTTGTCAAGCAAATCGACCAGCTGAACTCTATCGAAATCAACATAACCAAAAGTATTTAAAAAGATACCGATAACCAAACGAATCATATCAAGATTAACAAAACAAAAACTGCGGAAACATCGAGTTATCTTTCAAGAAGGAGATTCCATTTGCATTTTTATCTGGCATTTACTGTTTGAGTAATAAACTTCTCGAAATGGCATCTTGGATTGAAAAAAAAAAAAAAACACTCCTAACTAATTGATTTGGCACAAAGATCGCATGAATGGATCAAAATCTAATTATTTCACAAGCAGTGCTGTTCTCTGAACACTCAATAGATCTCATCATTGGTTAGATTCATATGCAATATATCCCGTACGTGGAGTTGTGTACGTGTATGTCACCAACGATGAGATCTAGCAAGAATCGACGAAAGCATTACTCATTTTCCATTCCATCACTATTTGATGCTTCGATAATGCATTTCCAGAAAAGTTGCGAAGTACAATTGGCAAACAAAACCAAGAAGAACAAAGAAAACAGCTTTAGCAGTAAGTTTTGTTTCAAGAAGGTTCCATTCACGTTTCGCCTTTCCTTAAAGAGATGATAAAACATAAAACACATATTACTTAAATCCCAAACCCATGATTTCATGTGCAGTACTAGCGTCCGAAGAAGCGTATCTGGAGAGCATGAAGAGTTACTATCGTAAAAGAAATTAAGCAATAAGATTCAAAGAACACAAAGAAAGACAGACAACTATCTTAAATGGGAACCCATTTTTTCTCTTTGTCAAATTTCTTAAGTGTTGCTTTATTTTGAGAGATAAGATGTGAAAATTCACACTCAGAAATGCTTACAAACTTCTGAAACATTTCATCGAACATTTACTGTACACAATGAATAGTTATTGTCGTAAAAGATCAGGAATCTTACTAGTTACTGGTTTTGATTGGACTGATTGGACGGAGGATTTTCGTTTGTTGGTGAAGGCGCCGCCGTGAGAGAGAAATTTTGGCTGGCTGAGGTCGTGAGCAATCTGAAGTTGTGGACCAATAGCATTCCCCCTGAATTCAACTGGCAACTGAGATACAACGACGCCGGATTTGAAGTTGTTTTTAAAACCATGTATTGTTTTTTTTTTTTTTTTTGGGACGTTTTAGAATAATTCCAACTTGGATTGCTAATAATTAGATTGTTTTGTTGTTTCAATGATTAAGCTTATAATAATTGTAATTTCTTAATCAGATTATTCATAATAATTGCTTTTTGAAATTTTTTTTATCCGAAAATAAAGATAAAGTGAATTAAAAAAAATATCCGTGATTCGATAGATCTTCAAAACTATTATTTTTGTAATATATATATATACCAGCTAAGTTTTTGTTTCAAATGTTTTTCAGGCACTAAAAGTTGGATTCAATCCTTATTAAATTACCTAAATTCTTCCTTTAGATCTTTTTTTCAAAAAAAAAAAAGATTTTTAAGCATCGGTTAAATTTCTTGAATCAATTTTGTATTTCCGCGACGATAACAAAGTGAGAGATTTCATTTTTTATTAAAAATTTAATGTAATTCTGCATATAATTTTTATTAAAATAAATAAACATATTTTACTAATACATTATATTATATGTTTTTCTTATATATTCTTTTATATCAAATATGCTAGCTTAATATCGGTATTATATTACTTATTTCATTCCTGAATGATAAACTTACTGAAAAACATGTAGTGTTATTCTAAACGGAAATTATTTTTATTTTTATTTTTATTTTTTTATTATAAGAGAAAGTGACGCAAACAAAACAATAAATAAATAAATAACTTAAACAGAATCATTTCGTCGTACTCGTTTAGAATTAGGGCGTGTGATAAGTTTTAGGCAGGACATAAAACAGGCTTTATTGTGGGCTAGCTTCGGCCTTTTTTAGTCATTGGGCTTGTCCCCAGATGTTATTGGTGTACTTTTTTGGGCTGAGTCGCTTTGGAAGCAGGTTGCTACTTGGGCTTAAGCCCTTTGAATATTAGAAAAACTTAAATTAATCCCAATGGTTTAATTTAAATAGAAGCAAGATTGTTTTTGTCTAATTTCTCTTATTCCAAAAAAAAATAAAAAGTATGGGGTTTTCACTGTTAGTAGACTATTCATTCTCTTTTATTTTATTATAGACTAACCTGTTTTTTTTTTTTTTTGTGTTATAAACGTCATTCTTTTTTATTCTTAATTTTTGTCATTGTCGCTAAATAGATTTGTAAAAATCTACACTTGTCCTTAACTGATTCTCCTTTAATTTTCTTTTTCAACTTTTTTTCATTATTTTCCTTTCTCTTCAAACAGAGCATTGATGCTCCTGTCTTTCGTTACTTTTTTTTTACTGTTGATGTACTATTCATTCTCTTTTATTTTACTGTAAATTGACAAGTTTTTTTTTTTCTTTGTGTTATAAACGCCTTTATCTTTTACTCTTAATCTATGTGATTGCCACTAAGTGGATTTTTTAAAATCTACACTTGTTATTGACTGATTTTCCTTTAATTTTGTTGTTCATTTTTTTTCCATCATTTCCCTTTCTCTTCAGACAAAGCATTTAATGCTTCTATCCTTTTTTTTTTCTCCCTTAATTTCATCAGAGGAGCTCGCTAGCTATTCAAGAATAAATTATAAATTAGTCCCTTTTGCATTGGAAAATGAATTAATTGGTCTTTTTAATTTTAAAAACTAATATTTTAATCTTTTTGCTATTTTTTAATTTATTTTGATTTTTTTAAAAATAGAAAATATGAAACAAATTGTTAAGAATAGAAGACATTTTAGAAAAAAAAATAATCTTGGTCAAAACTGGTTAAAAAAAGAGTAGACTATTCATTCTCTTTTATTTTATTATAAACTGACCTATTTTTTTTCTTTGTGTTATAAACGTCATTCTTTTTCACTCTTAATTTATGTTATTGCCACTAAGTGGATTCATAAAAATTCACGTTTGTCCTTAACTGATTCTCCTTTAATTTACTTTTTCACCCCTTTTCCATTATTTTCCTTTCTCTTTAGACAGAGCATTGCTGCTCCTGTCTTTCGTTACTTTTTTTTTTTTTTTTACTATTGATGGACTATTCACCCTCTTTTATTTTACTGTAAATTGATCAGATTTTTTTTCTTTTGTGTTATAAACGCTTTTCTCTTTTACTCTTAATCTATGTGATTGCCACTAAGTGGATTTTTTAAAATCTACACTTGTCATTGACTGATTTTCCTTTAATTTTGTTCATCATCTTTTTTCCATCATTTCCCTTTCTCTTCAAACAGAGCATTTAATGCTCTTGTATTTATTTATTTATTTCTCCCTTAATTTCATTAGAGGAGCTGGCTAGCTATTCAAGAATAAATTATAAATTAGTCCCTTTTGCATTGCAAAATGAATTAATTAGTCTTTTTAATTTTAAAAACTAATAGTTTAGTCTTTTGCTATTTTTTAATTTATTTTGATTTTTTTAAAAATATAGAAATATGAAAAAAAATTGATAAGAATACAAGACATTTTAGAAAAAAATTAGTCATGGTGAACATTAGTTAAAAAGATTAAATAATTACTTCTTAAAACCAAAAAGACTAATTAATTCATTTCTCAAAACAAGAGAGACTAATTTATAATTTATTTTCCAATTCAATGACATCTTTCATCATTGTTTATAGGTGATTTTTCTCTGATAAATATCATCTTGATTGCCTATATCAATGAGTGTATAAAAAAATGGCATTGGGTATAAAAAGCTAGATATACCCTATATGTGGTCTCGAGAATAACAAGAGTAAGTACTGCTTATAAACAATAATCAAGTTCAAAAATAACTATAGAAAAAACTAAAATATTTAGTGTAATTGCTGGCCTATGAAAGATCCATGCAAAATGATTTTATGAATGCAAAATGATAATTGCATTTTCGTGCTTAAAATTATAAAGTGGAAATATTTTTACGCTTTCATTTAGAAAAATTGCTTATTTGACGGTTGGACTTGTTTTTGAAGATTTTTTTTTCTTACATTGAATAGAAACTTAAATTTGTACATGGTTTGTACAAATTTTGTGTGCTTTCTTTTATTCGTGCTTTGTGCAATTCACTTGACCAAATGTTCGAGCAATAAAATTTAATAAAATTGCTATTATATTATTTATAAATAATTAAATATCAAAATTAATTTTATAAGTTTTTTAATTATAAATTGACTGTACATATACACAAAAACACTTAATATTATTTACTATTTTGAGAATATATATATAATTTTAAAAATTAATCTTCTAATCAATATTATAAAACAATTATTTTAAATATTAAAATTTGTATGCAATCTTATAAAATAAATAATTAAATTTATACATGTTTTTTTTTTAAGAATTTCTAATAAATTGAAGCTTGCGTTTTAGATTAATATAAATTTTTATTTAAGAATCAATGTATGAAAAAAAAAATCGTGTTTTTTTAAGAAGAAAATATTTTTAAAAACATAAAAAATAATTAGTTAAATATAAAAATTTTGATTCAAAAAATTTGAGTTTGTCTATTAAGAAACTTGACCAAGTTTAAATTAAGGAGAAGTAACAATAAAAAAATATCTCATAAATATCAGTATGAGTGCAACGAATGTATACGAGACCTGATCAATAAAAAGACGATATTAATTCATGAAAACTAATCCGAAAATATCTAATCAATAAAAATAAAAATTCATCAAGGAAATGTTTAATTATTGAAGAACATTAATCAAGTGATTGAAAGAAAACATGGTCCCTGCCAACAGCTGTTAAAGTATTAGTCATTATTTCTAATTATAGAGGTTGATTTAGACAATGGGAGGCCCTAGCTCCATATAGAAGCAGACACAAAGATGAGGTTTCGTTGTTACATAATGCAATTGCTTTTCATTCTCACCATGCACCTTTGCGTAAGTTCAAATTACATGTTTCACGATATCCATGAGACATCCATTGATCATACCAAAGGCTGGTGGCATTTAAATGATAAACCTTAATTTTTTTATGATGAACATTCATTATTAATGTGAAAATTTCCTTGTTGTTTTGTTTCTCTAGTAGGAAGGATGGGAATTGAGTTCGTGAGCATGCTCATCCTCTTATTCTATCTTCGATTTTAAGGGTTAAGATTAAACTTAATCTTAGCTGATTAAGTTTTTGGTTACGATATATTTTGGTATTAGAGTTTTCTAAATAAATAGTCACCGATTCAGATTCAAATCCTTTCGACAAATCAAAATAATGTTTGAAAGTCATATAAAATTATTTTCAAAATTTCAATCAATAATTTAAACTTTTGAGTATAAAATTATTTTTTAACATGATATCAAAAGTTTTGAATCTTGATGGCTCAAACAATCACAAATTCAAATTTTATTATTCTTATTTTAATTATTTTTTAACAATATACATAACATATATTTTTTTACCATATGACGAGAATGAACCTTCATCATATCTACTTCGGATATTTTTTTACCACATCATGAGAATGAGCTTTTTTCGTATCCATTTAAACCCTCCTTCTATTTTTGTTAAGATTTATAAAGTTTTGAATCTTAATGATCAAACAACCATAAATTTGAATTTGAATCCCATCACTTTTATCGAAAGAAAACATGATCTCTGCCGACAGCTGTTAAAGTATTAGTCAATATTTCTAATTATAGAGGTTGACTTAGACAACGGGAGGCCCTGGCCTAGCTCCATATAGAAGCAGAGACATAACGGCAAGGTGAGGCTTCGTTGTTCCATGATGCAATTGCTTTTGATTCTCACCATACACCTTTGCATAAGTTCAAATTACATGTTTCATGATATCTATGAGACATTCATTGATCATACCAAAGGCTGGTAGCATTTAAATGATAAACCTGAATATTTTTTGATGATGAAAATTTATTATTAATGAAATGTGAAAATTTCTTGTGGTTTTGTTTCTCCAGCGGGAAGGATAGGAATTGAGTTTGGGAGCATGCTAATCCTCTTATTCTACCTTCAATTTTAAGAGTTAAGATTAAACTTAATCTTAACCGATTAAGTTTTTGGTAATGATATATTTTGGTATTAGAGTTTTTTAAACAAATAGTCATGAAGTCAAATCTCAACCATTTTAATTTTTATTTTTTAATTAAAATTGAAAATTAAGCATAAAGTAATGATAAGCATGTACAAATTTCAAATTTAAAGAATATTTATTTCAAAAAAAAATGTTAAAAAATAATATAAAAATCATCATCGAACCTTATCAAATAACTTAAATTTTGGATTAAGATGACTTTTTGACAATATGCTACATATAAGATTAGCTAAACTAAAAATTTTCTAGAGCAAACCCATACAAAATTTTGCTCAATGAAAATTTACAAAAGTCATTACAAAACTCCCCAAGAAAATTATTTCATCATTGTGCTTATGATGAGTTCTCATTGTTTAAATTTTAGGTCTACCAATAAAAATACAATTTCAATCTTAAGCTCTTGTTATAGGGAATATGTTTAGAAAATAACATAAATCATATTTTAAGATCTCATCTAGATTTTGAGTTGAGATAGTCATTCAACATGATATCGAACCTTCTTCACCTAATGGTCAAGAATTTGAATTCTATCACTCAAACATTCTTTTTTAATTAATTAAGCACAAGGTAATATAGACACGTGTAAGTTTTCAATCCAAAAAGGTTTTCGCTTAAAGAAATATGTTAAAGAATATTATAAATCGTATCCTAGGATCTCACATAATAGATTAAACTTTTGAATTAAGATAATCCTTTAACAATATGCACAACATATATTTTTACCACATAATGAGAAGAACCTTCTTCATATCCACTTTAGATATTTTCTAACACGTGATGAGAATGAATCTTTTTTCGTATTCATTTAAATCCTCACTCCATTTTTTCCAAGATTTACAAAGACTTTTTAGTAAAAATCTCATATACTAACTAGAGGACAAAATCGTCAAATTCATTCTCTTTCATATGCTAACAAATCGTAACACTGCTAGAGAGTAATATAAAATTATTTTTAAAATTTAGATTATTAATTTAAACTTTTGCGTATGAAATTATTTTTTAACATGATTTCAAAAGTCTTGAATCTTCATAATTAAACAATCACGAGTTCAAATATCACCATTGATCCCACTCAACTGTACGAGAACATGGCCTGCAAACCCTAAAACACGGAGAAATGGTCCTTTAGCTTGATTATCGATCACAACCCAAATTTCCAAGACATTACTTTACAGGTGAAGACTTGGTTTAATTTCTTCAACTTTTGCTAAAATAAGCAACCATATGCTGAGATATAGCCATCGTTAGACTACCTACGTCATAAAGATGACATTTATGTTAAAGAATTGGACTTCTCCATCAAAAAGTCTTTCTTCTTCAAATTCTAAGTAAACCATGAAATCATTAACTAAACTCACATCTTTTCCATTGATTTTACCAATTTAAGTTGTTTAATATCTTCCAACAATAACAAATTTTCAGTGGTTAGCAACCTGGCGTGCGTCCTGGAAATTGGAATGATCAATGTTTGTTGTCTCGTTTTCTACCCTACATCTTTATAGTACTGCTGGGCTTTCCACAGGCTACAGGAAGAGCCTAATTTTCCACACAGACGCTGCTACAACTGGATTAGGTCTTTGTGCTCTTTCTATGAAGTCGTTGTACTAACCCCACTCGTCACGTTTTCTACCGCATTAACTCATTTGAAGTTAAAATAACCCAAAATGATTCCAAATTTTTTGAAAAGCCTTATCTAATTCTTACTGAATGATTTCTACAATACAACTATTTATGTGATTGTTATTTTTTTGAATAAATGATAAAAAAAAAATTAAAGAATTGACAAAAATTAGAAATTTAGAGATTTTAAAAATTAAATTTAAAATTCAAAAATTCAATTTCAAATGAGTTAAACCCGTGAGGAGGCTTGACTTATTTAGCTGTAATAATATATAAAGGGAGTATAGATTGGGTTCGGACAGGATAAATCAGAAAGAAAGCTAATATATGGTGGAGACATCAGCTTTGCATACGCTCCACGTCTTGACACATATCTTCTGATTTTGTGCTGCAGGACATTCCCTTTCGCTGCAAGTATATGCATAAACAGGTAAATATTTATATTCCTTTCCAATGTCCAAAGAGCTGTCGTGATTTTCATGCTATGTCTTTCTCTTTTGTTTATCCTTCGTTGTTAAATGTCAGAGGTAAAAAGTATCAAGCTTGCTTGTTTCTTGTAGACTGTATTTCAAATTAGCAGCGTTCTTCTAATGTCACCAAGAAAAAGCAGAAAAATCGTCCTTTAAAGGTAGTCTTAAGGTTTTAGATAAAGAAATTCGTATAATTACTTTGAAAATTACCAATTAGAGGAAATTTTAAAAACTTAGAAACTTTGAGAGCACATAGCACTATTTAAATCTTTTAGGTTCGTCTTTGTTTCGGAGAAAAAGCATTACTCCAATTTTTAGGATTGATTATATTACCAAGGTTCGTTTTTGTTTCAGAGAAAAATCATAACTCTATTTTTTAGGTTGATTGTATTGTCAATTTTTTATTTAAATTCGATATCAATCTTAATGATCCAAGTATATTATTGAAAAAAATAATAATAAATTTTCGAGAGTAATTATCAATATTTACCCTTAGACCGATTTCGAAAAGAAAAGACAAGAAAAACTTGATGAGTTGATCTATTTGTTAGGCCTACGGAATCTATCATCCATCTCTAGCAAGATCTTTCCTCTCGTTTTTTTTCCTCCCTATCTCTTTCCTAATGGAAACTTGACAACTTGACATGTAAGTATTGGTAATTATTAATTTTAGAGCAAAATAATATTCTTCCTAACTGATAATTATACCATAAGAAACTTGAGAAATTTGGAGCACCGTTACTAATTACTAATTTTAGAGTAAGATAATATTCTCCCTAGTTAATAATTATACCATAATAACCTTGAGAAATTTAGAGCATGATGGGACTAAATTATCTCTTGTCAAGTCAACTTATGCCCTTCTTTCTCTCAACTTTCCTCTTTTACTTTTCAAGGATTCCATCTATTCCTCTATAGCGACATTCATTAAGTCTTGCCTTTCCCGTTAAGCAATCTCATGAATTCCACAGCGTTTAATGGACAACAAAACACAAGGGTAAAGTACGTACGCTACCTAATTTCACTATATATATATATAGTGATAGGTTCAAGCCTTAGAAAAGATACGATGAGAATTTAGGATGTATTTAGTAAAGTAAGCTGGGTTGGAAAATATTTTTCGCAATTTATTTAATTTGATTTTTTTAAAAAAATAAAATTAATTTTATAATAATATTTATATATTATTTTTCAATTATTTATTTATTTAATGCTAAATATTTTCTTTGACAAACTTCAATAATGTTTTTGAAAACTCTGTCCAACTGTAGATGAGATTGAGAAAGAAACGACTTCGAGGTTAATTATGTTTGCCACCATTTCCACCCAATTTGTCGGTATTTTAAGAGGTAAAGTGATAAGAAGACGAACTTAAACTAAACAAATGACCAAACAAAAAATCACATATAACCAATAGCAATGAATTGCACACACACTTTTTGTAACAAAATAGATTCTAACTTGAGTTCAATAGAGGAAGGGTAAAGTAATAAACTTGAGCTATATTAATTCAGTAGGTAATAATATATTAATTAAATTTTTAATTATTAAATTAATTTAAAACATCAAAATTTTGCTCAATATAATAAATAAAACGTTAATAGCCTTATTTGTAATTATATAATAAGCTAATTTTCTAATATATTCATAAAAAAAAGTCTCTAATTTATTTTTATATTTTGAGTTGCCTTTTAATTTATTATTTTGGTAAAACTTTTTGATCAATTTTAAAAATTAATATTTATATTAGTAGATATAGATCATTTGTGCCAAATAATAAAGATAATTTTATCAAATCGCATATTATGTGAAAATCACATGCTTAATTTGACTTAATTTATTTTAAGTAAAATAATAGATTAGAAACTAGTTTAAAATATAAAGATAGATTAGAATTACATTTTTAGGAACAGATTGAAAATTTTACTATATAAGTTCATGTGAAAATATTAATTCATAAAAAAAAAAAAAAAAAATTTGAGCATCTATGCTGAGGTATTGCCTACATCCAGTTGAGAAATTTCCATGAACTTTTATATGAGAATTTATCAACCATGACATAACTAGATGTTCCTCTTTGAATCAATACAAGACAATGAGATTAGTTATGTAATACTCTTCATATTAAATTGTAAAATACATCTCTAAATTAAGCAAAAAAGATACCCTTGAATTAATTATTTTATCACCTAAACAATATGATTTTTTCAATTTGTCCATTTCATTAAAGGTTTTAGCATATTCGTTCCTTAACTTGATAAGCTCGTTCGACATATCACTTTTTATCCTTTTACTTTTTAAAAATCCTTTTACATTTTAAAAAACTCATTGCATCAATCACTTTTTTTGGATAAAAAATCTCCAAAGGTTAGTTTTGGGTTCCATTGAGAAATTAAGAAAAATAAAAATCCTTTCAATTCCCATTATTTTCTTTATCAATTTACATAAACATGTTTACTAACAGAGGAAGAAAAAAGAATTGAAAAGATTTTTAAGAGTTTTTTCCATTAATTTTTCAATCAAATCCTAAAGGAATGAACAAATTAAAAAAATTATATGATATTTGAATTTTATAGACTTAAATCTTATTATTTGTGCATTATTAAATTTATATATTATTTTTTATTTTTTATTTATTTAATGTTAAATATGTCCTCTGGCGAACTTCAAAAGTGTTTTTGAAAACCCTATCCAACTGTAGGTGAGATTGAGAAAGAAACGACTTTGAGAGGTTAATTATGTTTGCCACCATTTCACCTAAACCATTTTGTCATTATTTATAAAGGTGAAGTCATAAGAAGTCGAACTTAAGCTAAAAAAATGACCAAACAAAAATTCACATATAACCAATAACAATGACATTAGTTATGTAATACTCTTCATATTAAATTGTAAAATACATCTCTAAATTAAGCAAAAAAAGAAGGAAAAAAAAGATACCCTTGAATTATTTTTTAAAATTATTTTACCACCTAAACAATATGATTTTTTGAATTTGCCCATTTCATTAAAGGTCCTAGTAGATTCGTTCCTTAACTCGATAAGCTCGTCCAACGAGATCCCTTTTTATCTTTTTACTTTTCAAAAACTTACTCGAATCAATCACTTTTTTGAATAGAAAATCTCCGAAGGTTAGTTTTGGGTTCCATTGAGAAATTAACAAAAATACAATTGCCATAATTTTCTTTATCAATTTACATAAACATGTTTACTAACGAGAGAAAAAGAAGAATTGAGAAGATTTTTAAGAGTTTTTTCATTAATTTTTTGATAAAATCCTAAAAGAATGAACAAATTAAAAAATTATATAATATTTGAATTTTATAGACTTAAACCTTATGAGTTGTGCATTATTAATTTTATACATTATTTATTTATTTATTTAATGTTAAATATGTCCTTTGGCGAACTTCAAAAGTGTAGGTGAGATTGAGAGACTTGAGAGGTTAATTATGTTTGCCACCATTTAACCTAAACCATTTTGTCGTTATCTAGAGGTGTAAAGTCATAAGAAGTCGAACTTAAGCTAAACAAATGACCAAACAAAAATTCACATATGACCAATACCAATGAATTGAACACACACTTTTTGTAATAAAAGAGATTCTAACTTGAGGTCAATTCGAGAAAGGGTAAAGTAATCAACTTGAGCTATATTAATTCAGTAGGTAATAATATATTAAGTAATTTTTAATTATTAAATTAATTAAAAAATTTTTTTGCTTAATATGATAAATAAATGGTTAATATCATTACTTGTCCTTATGTTATAGACTAATTTTCTAATATGTTCATAAAAAATGCATCTAATATGTCTTTATATTTTGAGTTGGTTTTTAATCTTTTCATTTGGTCAAAAATTTTTATCAATTTTCAGAAATTAATCTTCATATTAGTAGATATAGATCGCTTGTACTAAATACTAAAGATAATTTTATCAAATTGCATATCATGTGTAAATCTCATGCTTAATTTAGTTTAATTTAACTAAAAATTTTAATTAAAATATTAAATTAGAAATCAGTTCAAAATATAAGAATAGATTAGATGTATTTTTTTAAGAATAGATTGGAAATTTTCCTGCTATAAAAAAGATATGTGAAAATACATAAATAAATTTGAGCATCTATGCTGAGTTATTGCTTACATAAGTTGAGAAATTTCTATGAACTTTTGTATGAGAATTTTTCATCTATGACATAACTAGATGTTCCTCTTTGAATCAATGCAAAACAATGAGATTACTTATGTAATACTCTTCATATTAAATTATAGAATGCTTCCCTAAATTAAGCAAAAAAAGAAAAATAGAAACCCTTGAATTAATTTTTTTATTATTTTATCTCCTAAACAATATGATTTGTTGAATTTATCCATTTCATTAAAGGTTCTAGTAGATTTGTTCCTCAATTCGATAAGTTCATCCGACGGATCCTTTTCATCCCTTTACTTTTTAAAAATCTTCACTCGCATCAATCACTTTTTTGGATAAGAAATCTCTCGAAAGTTAGTTTTGGGTTATGTTGAGAAATTGACGAAAAACTCAAAAAAATCCTTCAATTCACATCATTTTCTTTACCAATTTACAAAAAACATGTTTACTAATAGAAAAAAAGAAGATTTGAGAAGATTTTTAAGAGTTTTTCCATTAATTTTTCAATAAAATCCTAAAAGAATGAACATATATATATATATATAAGGAGCAAAATCAAGATTTTTTTTTTAACTTCAAATGGATATTTGTTGTTTCTTTCAAGTTTAGTGAGAAATTTTAAAATACTAAAAGAATAACCGTTATATATACACAATAGTTACTTTATGAGTTTATTTTTTAGAAGAGAGATATACATAAAAAAAAAATTACATTCAGATCTATGAAAAGTGATTATAAAATTTTAATCTTCTCTTTTTTATTTCTCTTTCCTTTTTGTATCTATCTCTTTTTTATGAAGTAATTTACACTAATTATTTCACCGAGTAAAATTCCTCCACGTTAAGGGGCTATTTTATTATTTAGCCTAGTCCTTGGCATCTCCTTCACGCCTAACCAATCTTTCATTAAATGGGGAATATTGGGCATTGAAAAAAAGTTAATAAGATTGTTCAATTAATATTCTACAGCCATCCGATACTTGTACGCTTCTAATTTCCTGTTAGTTCCTGTCCATAGCCATACACCCATCTTTATTCTTATTCTCCCCTTTTTGACTTCAAGAAAACATGTCATTTAAAGTTTATGAATAAATTCAAGTGGACGTATCTTCTCTATTTTCAGGAAGCAACCATTTAGCATATCTTGAGCCAAAATCAAGAGAGATCACCAACTTCTGGGAACGCTCTTAAGGATCTTATACCCCTTTTCCTGTTGGTTCTGGAACAGGTAAGTATATTATATTTGCCATTTTTAACTATTCTATTCATATAATTCGAATAAAGGACGATCAAGTATTTCCATATTTATGATATGTTTATCCTTTTACTTTCAACTCTTCGCTTTATTCTCGCCCTAGACGTCAAGAGTGGAAAGATACGTTCACACTCAGCAGCCTCGTTCATCCTCACCTTTTTAGAGAGATTAATTTTGACACAAAGTTGTGGAATAGGATTAATTCCCACACCATCCCTTTAGATATTTCACAAATCAAGTACTAGATCTTGCTTTTGAGTCGACTGTACCTTGTCATCAAGCACTTTGATATAAAATCCGATTTTTTTTTTTTAAATAAATATGTCCTAAGTTGATCTTGAGTAAAGGAAGAAATAAAATAAATATAAAATCTAAAAATGTTTAAAATATATGTGGATAATAAGAAAACAGATTAATCTAAAAGGTGAGTATCATTATATATATAAAAAAAGGTTAGAAGTGTATCTTCATAATGAATTTGATATCTCTAATAATTTTGTGATTAATTTCATATCGTGGAGTTATAAATAAGTTTTTCGAATTGCGTTCTCGAACCCTATCGAATACTTAAATCAAAAGTTATTCTCGATAAAAACAATGATATTTATTTATTTTTAAAGTCGACTTAATCCATGTACAATCGCTGACTAAATTCCAATCAAACTTAGAATAATTAAAAACTAATATTGTTGTACTCATCCATTTCTTACTAGAAATTTCGTGACTTCGGACTCAAGCCACAGCTAGAATATCTCTTAGTCGTTGACCTAGTCAACTTCAATTTTGTATAGTTTCAAGCATAGGGTTCCCAGCGAGGATTTTGATTTAATTAATATTCTTCGTGACGAAGCACCCATGTGGTACTTTCATTTTATATATTTTATCAAAATAAACCGCCTACGTTGAATTTGATCAAATTCATCCCTCTACTGATCTACTTTTCTCCAATTTCGTTACTAATCAAATGGCCACATGAACTTCATCATGATTTTGACACTATTAGACAAAAGATCTCAAATTACCTTTCGTTTAGAAATAGAGAAGTTGATATAAATCAATTTAAAGCAAAGATTTGATTTGACCAAATGACAAAGTAGATGGATCACATATGATTTTAACCCCTATTTTCTGTTTTGCTGCTTTTGCCCATCGCCCATTTCCAAGAATGACAACATGATAACGAGGAATATGCTTATCATGCCTTGGAATTGCTTTTTTTTTTTTTTTTTTTTTTGGTATCAAGGTTTCTTGAGATTTGCTTCTTCTCATCCATCCTTACCGACTCATCAAAATTATTTTACTATTTTTGTAAAGATTCTATAATATTTCACCAACTGCTCAAAATATTCCATCTTTAAATGACTTTTACTTTATTCTATTAATGTTATCTTCTGGTAATTTTTTTTATTTTTATGCTGTAACTTATTTCCAAAGACTAAAGAAAAATTGATTTTATCAAGTTTTAGAGTTACAATTGCAAGGCTTCCTCGCCAGTCATCAACGAAAGATTTTCATCCACCTTTTATATAAAAAAGAATCTAACTAAATTAAATCAAATGTAGCAAATTTCTTATGGATTACATGACTCTCCTCATAGACAGGAATATAACCAGGATTTTAGAGATAAAAAAGGGTATAAATAGTATTAAGGAACGTTTAAATGAAATAAGTGATGTTGGATCAATATTTTTAATTAGAATAGGAGAATATGTACAATCCTTTTCATGAAATCAATTTAAATTTGATGATAATTGTTAAACTTTTAGGACTAAATTGAAATCTTCTCAAGGTCGAGGCATGGCCCCCCATTGCCCAAGCATGCATGCATACATACATATATATAGTTCCGCCCCTTAGTTTTAAGTTTCAGAATTCTAGCAATATCCTTGGTTAGGAACACTATCATTCATGTAGCAAAATACAAGCTACTTAATTTATTAGTTATGATTTTTTAGGCTAGATGGTTGAAATTTTATTTTAACTTTAAATTATCTGAGAATCAATTTTTTTTAATTTTTAATTTGAAATTGAACTTTTTTTTAATTATTTTTTCATTTGAAATTGAATCATTCTATTATGTTTTCATCAATTCTAACGTGTAAGTACAATTTTTTAACAACTAAACACTTAAATATTTATATATATTTTAGTTTTCTCTCCAAAACTTATTTATTTTCTCCAAAATGCTAAGAAATAAGCAATTCAAAAATATTTTATAGGAAAAAATCCATAAGTTTTGTCAAATTTTTAGCTTTTGGATAAATTGAAAAGCCAATTGTGTGCAAGTCATGCTTACTTTTATTGTTAGAATTGACAAAAAAAAAAACTAATATAAAGACTCAATTTCAAATGAAAAATAGTTAAAAAAATTAAATCAAAAAATAAAAATTGATTCTTAAATGACTCAAAATTCAAGAAAGATTTTAACTATTTAGCATTTGCTTTTAATCTTTTTTTTTCTTTTGATTTTCTCTTATGTTAAATATTGAAAAACAATTTTTTTTTTAATTATTTTTTGGCATCTCTTGCTGGCTGCTTGGGCAATTGCGGTACGAACAAACATTAACACATAAGCATCGTCGAAAAGTGGTTGTACGTCTATTTTGTGTGCGAAAAAGGCTCTAATTTTGCTAGCTAATAAAAGCTCTCAAGCTCGAATACATGCATTACTTCATTTTTTCTTTTTCTTTTTTTCACTCGAAAGGTCAAGGAAACAACGAGAGACAAATATTCAAATTACTTTTGTTTCGTAGAATAATGTGGCTTGAAATATTACATAGTCAAAAGTTATTGTTTTTCGGTTTTGATGGTTAAGTTTATATTTTTATATCAGTTTTTTTATTTTTTGAATTTTTTTATTGATATCCTTTGTATATTTTTTTAGCTTTGAGAATCTTTACTTTTTAAGATTTCTTCTTTGATATCTTCTATTATAACTCAACCAATTAGCAATTAAAACATAACATTATAAATTAAAAAATCTCAAAAAGTAGATATTACATGTCGATTATTGATTGATGACATTATAACGAAAGGTCCGAAACAAAAAATCTTGAAAAGCAAAAGGTCTCAATCAAACTAAAAAAAGAATAAAATTTTAATTAAAAAAATTCAAAAAATACATAGTCCAAATGTAGAAAAAAAAAACTCTTTTTAAATAATTTATGAATATTAGGTTTTTTTCATATCAAAATTTAGACAAACAATTTGTATAAGTTTAATGTGAATCTAATTTGGTGTCTTCATCAATCCAAGTATGGACGAAGATTCAAAAGTCAGTTTAAGGAAACAAATTGTCAACAAGATTAATCGGGAAGAGGATCGCTCTCAACGTCAATATCAATGTTTATCGTGCCGTATTAATTCACTCTATTTTTTTCCTCCTTGGCAATTTACTCCACCTTAGCTTTCAGCCTAGCTAGTGGAGACAATAAGATGAATTTCTACATTGTTATTTACCGGAGATTATGGAAAATTACTTGAAAATTAGGTAGCCAAAGGATTAAGATATATTGCAAGTACGAAAACCTTGTTTTGTGATTTATTTATTTTTTGTTTAATCAAACTATAATACTATATAAATCTTGGAATCTAGTTATGATCTAAACCCTATGCACCGACTTTCTGCATGCGAATTAAGTTTTATAGCATGGAGCAGGTTTGCTTGCCGACAGCAACAAATTACAAATTACGGAAAGCTAATATAACGGGCAGATGAAATGTCTGCCGACAAGGAATTACTTTTGTTGTCGCGTGATTAGTCATGATTTTAGGTAGGAAAATTTATATATATTTTTTTACTATCGGAAAGCTTATGAATCTTGTGCTATACAATAAAGGATATTCCTCTTTTATTACATAACAATAAGATAAATTAAAATTATTAAAATTTAAATCTGTTTCATTGAAAAAAAAAATTACCGAATACACAATCGTTATGCTTTCGTGATAGGAAAATTATCTAGTGATAGCTATTAAAATGGATTGATGCACCATAGATTGTTCTCAATTAAGTAGAGGATTCTTGGAAAAGTTAAAGTCAAAAGAAATGTTTCAAAGTGAACTATAGTGGTTTGGTATAAAGATAGTTGAATGTTAATTAATCAAAAGCAACGGATCGCGAAAAAGTTGAGTAAATCTTGAAATAGTAAAACTAATTAAAAAAATAACGCATGATAATGAAATAAATAAAAAATTATCTCATTGTCTTTTCTATCAAAGATAAATTAGAGACTCAATTGATTATACAAGGACAAAATAAAAACTTAATATACCAATAAGATGTTAATCTAGCAATAAATGAGCTAGTTTTCAAGTGAATTTATGCCAATGTGCAAAGTTTTTTCTTGAACGTATCAACTATTTTAAAACTTATTTAAATAACATGAACATAATTGATTTATTTTAAAATATAAGAGCATAATTTATTAGAAACTCATTTTTTCTATTAAAGATAGATTAGAAACTTATTTAAATAATATAAATATAATTGATTTATTTTAAAATATAAGAATATATTAAACACTTAGTTTATTATATAATGATGGTATTTTTTTTTCATACAAAAACATATAAATTTTCCCCATAAAAGTAGTGGATCCTTGAAAAAAAGGTTAATTATTAAGTGATCTATAGGGATTTTATTTAAAGGTAGTTGACTATCATTAGCAAGATTCCAAGTAATATCATATATAAATCTATGTGTATTATACATCATATTATTATACATAAAATTAAAGTAAAACATAATTTTATTATTTATTTTTACTATTTGAAATACTATTCATACACTTACAAATCACTATTACTTTCACCATTCATATCATTTTTTTAGCACTTTGATCCTCAATGTTTTTATATATGTTTTTATATATTTTTTTTCAATTTCAAACTTTAATTGTATTGTGATGTGGTCTAATTTTATTTTAACATTTTATTTTGATTATTTTTATTATTTAAAATTTACAACTTTAATTTTTTAAAGATTAATTTTTATCTTAGTAGAAATAGTTAAATACAAAATTTTTGATTAAAAAATTATAAATAATTTTTTTAATCTTTGATTTCATATATTTTTATAGATTCACACCATAAAATAGACAATTAAACTGAAATGATTTCTTGAAATAATTTTATATATTTTATTCAATTCACAACGTAATGTGAAAAAAAATTAATAAAAACTAATTCAAAACTAATCCGTGATAGTAAAACATATATAAAAAAATTATCTCAACTTTTCTTCTCTCTAACATGATTGATTTTTTCGAATAAATTTTTGGAAAGATCGTGAAAGTACATGTGAAATCATATTTTTATCTGCCACTGAGGAAAAGGGAAGCAAGACTTGATGCCATCCCCCTTGTCAAATATCAAGATATGGTTGTCGTTTTAGCTTCCTGTTAAAGTTAGTTCGTACAAATTTACTACGACAAGTTTTTGTCGATTCGTCGACAGAGCGACGAGGAGAATAGGATATTAACCATTAGGCTATTCTTCTCGGTGTTATTTTCATCGTATTTAGTTCGTACTCTTATTAACCCTGTCGTTGCATTGCAACCGAAGCGTGGTGGCTTCGGCCTACTCCCAAGCGAGTAATACGTCATCATTAAGACAGCATGATCTGTACTAGGAATTGTTTGTGAGAGCCCAAATTATGGGCTTGATCTCGAGAGAAGTCTTTGAGAACTGGCCCTGTATTGTCCCTGCCCACCTCATATGATATGTTGCTATAAAGATCAAACTATTCCTTAAAGATTTTAAATCATTTGAAATTAAATTTTTTATTAATATTAAAAATTCTTGAACTTTAGAATTTTTTAAATCAAATCTTTTATTCAGTTTTTTTTATCATTTATCTAAAAAAATAACAATTACATAAATAATTTAATGATAAAAATCATTTAGTAAGATTTATATAGGACTCCTTAAAAAATTTGAGATCATTTTAGGATTATTTTTTTTCTCAATTTTTTATATTTTTAATTTTTAAAAAATAAATATAATTTTCAATTTGAAAAGTTCTGAAATTTTTTTACAAAACATATTGAATTTTTTCTAACGTGTATACAAAATTTAATCTCAAAATATTAAAAATTAAAATTTATTTTAATGAAGAAAATATTGCTAAAAATCATTATATAGGCTATTTTTTTTTTTTAAATTAGTAGTTTAAAGATCTCAATAACGGATAAAAAGTTGAAAGATTCGAGTTAAAATTTAGGAATACTTAAATTTTTCGGCTTGATCAGTCATGTCAAGAACTCGATCAGGTATCTATTTATAGTTGGCTCATCTCTGTCAAAAAAGTTGGCACTGATACATTGATGCAAGACATCCGCCTACCTATCTTCAAAACATTGGCCAAGAGCTTGATAGTTGGTGTCTCAACACCGGTAAGAGTTTGCTTCGCGCACACATCATTCTTCGTTCCCATGTAATCTACAAAACGTATTGGGCAAGCAAAGGCACAATTATCCTAAAGAGGAAATGAAGGAAAAAAAAAGGAAGTGGGCCGACCTGAATTTTTAATCAAATCTCGTTCCTTTTCCAGGTGTGTCTACTAAGCTACCATCTCTGCATGCGTTCTTGCTAAAGGTTTGTTGATTTATTCTTACTTAAAAGTGCAAGAGCTGGGCAGATTAGAAGGTCAAGTGACCAAGCCTTTTGGGTCGAAAACCTATCAGGGTCCATCTGTACATGTATTCCTTACAAGCCCTTTATTTTCCTATAATAGCCAGAAGCATTGCTTTTGACGATCTCCTGCTGTTCTCTGTTTCATTCCTCGAAGGCTTGCTTGTAATTTTCCCTACGTAGTGAAATACCTTGAGATACTCAGCAGATTGGAAATTTCGGAGAAGAGGAAAAAGGATACGAATCTGAGTACAGTTCTTGGTAGAGGAATCATTTCTTGGGAGGGTAAAATAGCGTACGGTTGCTTGAGCCTGGGAGACAATTTGAAGCACTTCCTTTGATGCTTTGGCTTGGAAATGATTTTCTTTTTCTTTCTTTTCAGTGCTATAAAATTTCCCACCTGGTGATTTTGAAATCTTGGTTCTATCGATCTCGTTTAAGGAGCAAAACGTATCAAGATTTGGCGTGATGCTTTGTCATAAAGAAGAACAAATATCTAATAGCTCATGAAATTTCACTCTTTCTGATGCAGAGGTGTGTTGATTCTGCTCTTTTTGTCTAGAAATCCGTCAAAGAATTTCTGAGATTCCCTCAGCAGCAGGTCAGTGACTTCTTCCACTTTTTGCTCTACATATTTCTTTATCAGAAGACTTCTCGAGATTGCCATAATTGAATCAACACATCAACTTGGAAGGAGACTTGGGATTGAAGTAATTCTCTCTTCTTGGGGTCTTAAGCCTTTTTTTCTTGTTTGAATGAATGAAAAAAATTCATTGATCAAAGAGAACATCTTATTTTTTGTGCCTTTTGGTTCTAGAAAATTAATGAAGAATTTGTCCTGCAGGATTAGATTAATTAGGGCAACATGAACCAATGAATTAATTATTTTACGGATTATTGGTGCAATTAAGGTTAATGAACACATGAATGGGAGGTGAAAAAGAAATGAAAAAAATCACAGAATCATACAAAATGCAGATCAAAAGTGAATTCATTGAGTTAGGAAGATGGTATTTTGTGTTTCAGAAAAAAAATGTGTTTATTATTTCTAAACTGTTTATCAACACTAATTACACCCCATAAGCTTAATGTATAATTGCAGAATTTGTGCCTTTTATTCGCTATTAGTTAGAAGGGACAGAGAAATATATATTTTTTTCTCAAAAAAATTGCTGTGCTTGGTTTTCTTATGCGTACTAAGATAATTTTAATTATTAAACCGTATTATTATTATTTTATTTTTTTACATTTTTTTCAAATATTTTCATTTCAGCTGTGAATTCCTTACAAAATGAACTTTAATTAATATTATTAAAAAATAAATACACAAAACTTTGATCAAAACAATCATTTAGCAACAAACATAATAACAAACAAAATAGAAATAGAAAAGAGGGAATTCTTTTGGTAAAGAGTATCTTTTTAATGCCAAACGGTCGGCAAATTTAAAAAAAAACTCAAATTGAATTTCTTGAAGAACACTTAACACGTGTCTAAGTAACGGAGAAAGGACATGACAAAAACCTTTGAACATGTTCTCGAAGAAAAAAGTAACATAAATAAATAAATAACGGCAAAACCAAATATAGGTGGCATGCCTTCATGTGATGACTGAGGCACCTGCCGACCATGTTTTTGTTAGATTGTGTATTTCAAGTAACGCCACATGGCACCCGCAGAATTTTGCCATAATACCGCATGCCGTGTCGCGAGCACAAAGTTTTGCTATGGTGATATGTCTCTGCCACATGCCTCCATCACACAGCATCAATAATGGCAGCAGGCTGGCTTTGATCATTTTTTTTTTTTTTTGTTTATTTAAGTAACACTCCACTTGATTTTGAGCAATTTTTCTTTTTTTCTTGGATCTCAGTTTCTTTCCTGGCTCCACTTGATTTATTGATTGATTTTCTTTCACATTTTCGTGGGATTTTTCTATTGGTTCCAGTTGGGTGATTGCCGTTTTTCTTTGCTAATAATAATGACAAAGCATTAAATTCTTTTAATTATCATCATCACCATTGAAAGTGCCTTTGTTTATTCTGCTGTTGTTTCCTTTTCTTCTTTTGATTTGCTTACCTATAAAATTTCAGTTGTTACGATTAGTTGACTGTTTCTTGAAGTGCAAGGTTCCATATCTGGCAACATTGAGAGCAACGATACAGCCGACCACTTGAAAGGTAAGTATAATATGTAGTTTAGTACCTGTACTTTAGATTTTATTTCATTTTAGTACTTTCCATTTTTTTCCCAAATCTTATAACGAAGGATTAGCATGATAGAGGTTAAAAAATAGCAGAGCAACGAAAAATTTCAACTTGTATAGTCCATGTAAGCAGTAGAGTTTTTTAATTAAAATATTTAGTGAGCTTTAAAAGATTGAAAAGGTTAAATCATTTCAACATTTTGCAATATTTGAAGAGATAAATGTTAATCATTCTAAAATAAAATGTTGATTTAATGTTACACTAGTTGGTATAACATGTTTAGGAGCATTTTAGTTCATTCTCCTGGCTGGAGGCATCAAACTTATCTTCATATAATCCTTTTATTTCAAAAAACAATTAGTTAGTTCTTCTAATTAAAGTAAAATCTAATATTGAATCCTTATGCTTTATTAATATTTTTAGCTTAGTATTTATGTTAGTTTTCTACAATATTTCAATTGTTTTTGTCCTAAATGTCCTTTTTTTTTTTTTTGTCAAAATTTTCCTCAAAGCTAAAAGGGGAATCTAGAAATTTTATAAAGAATAAACAATAAACTCCAATGGATGGATTAGTCTATGATTTCCAAAACCAAAAGGACTGATTTAAAAATAAGTAAACCATAGGGACTAAATATCAATCTATCTTAATAATGTTCTTGGCAGTTATGATTGGACCCCATTTTCTTTTGTAAAATTCAATGGCAAAGTGAAAGTTGATAGTCAATTGCTCCTCCAATTACCACCAACTTGCCCACAATTGAAGGAGAGCACAAGAAGCGTGTGGTATTGAATACTACTTTTTCTATTTTAGGAAAAAAAGAAAAAAACTTAATTGTTGTAGGACCAAGTTGAAAAAGGTAAGTTGGAAACCTCGTTCTTCTGTATATCACGCGTATTACTCCTGCTTTATGACTCCACACGGCATGATAAGATACCTAACCGGTATAACCGGCCATTCGTATTTTTTTGTGCAAGAGTAACTTTATTCCTTTTAAAAGACATTTTTACCATTTTTAGATCACCCGAAATTAAAAGCAAGAAAGAATAGAATCACACTACTTTATGGGGACAACAACGAAATTTCCTGGAAGATAGCATGAGCCCAAAAGTTTTGCACAAATTACCTGACATTTTTAGATTTCATTAATTAATTGAAAGCAAGGAAGAATGCTCCTACAAAACGGTGAAATTGAGAATACAAACAAATAATTTGAAAATAATAACAGTAATTTGCATAAATGTGTAATAAGGTTAGGCATTGATTGCCTTAGAAGAATGGTTTAGTATGTTATATCATTAATTTTTTATTTTGGTTATTTATGATGTCATTTTAATGTCACACGAAATTGAATGATTTTTTTTAATAAATGGAATTCCGACGGTTATATATCTTGATTTTAATATTTAGGTCAAAATTATAAAATCTATTTATTATATTAGTTGTATCTTTATCTCTATATCTCATGATTTTATTGTTTTTAATTCAAATAATGCTAATTTAGCACATTTGAAATATTAATTCGGTGTTATAGAAATTGAGGCATTAAAAGAATAATTTAATATGTTACACGGCACTTATGTATATGGTTTAATGTCTCACAAAATTAAAATTTTATTTTTGTATTTATGAAATGCTAATAAAACCAGTTCGGATCTCAATTTATACCCGCCAAATTTAATTGAGATCCCAACTGGTTTTTGGATTATAAAACTATATTTTTGAAGTACAATTATTTTAATAACAAAAAAAAAAAAAAAAAAAACACCTCCATGACATTTCCTATATTGGGAAACCGATTATACAATCTGTTGATTTCATCCTTCAGGAACTAGCGATAGTAAATGCAGTTATAAATACAGTCTCCTATATATGTATATATATATATATATTTTTCCCCTCAGTCTTTTCGCCTGTTGTTTTCTCAGAAACTCCAGACGTTTCTACCAAGGAGGAGTAAAAGACAAGAAGAAGAATAACACAAGTAAGCCAAGCGCTGTTTTTACCCCTCTCTGTCTCAGTAAAAACACAGATTTATGTATTTATTTATTTTTGGCTTCCGTTCATTATCCACCACCTTAGTCAGTTGGTCACTGTAGAAAGTGGAGGTAATTAATAAAAATAAAAAAGTAAAAAATCAAATCACTCCTTTTTGGTTCTCCTTCAAGAGAAAAGAAAAAAAAAGAAAAGCTTAGAATACTAATTTTCAGTCGGAAATCTTTTTTTTTTTTTTTAAATATTTTATTCTAGAAAAACAACAGAGAGAGAGAGAGAGAGAGAGGGAGTGCGCATTAAGGACTATATATATTTTTTCAAAATAATTTTGCATTTATAAAGCAGAGAGAACTCAGAAATTGTTTTTGGAGTCTAGAAGAATGCTTCTGATTTTGCGTCTTTGAGAAAGAAACGGTTTTGTGATTTTAATGGTGGAAAAAAGAAGTGAAGTGAGATGATTTTGTAACGGTACCATCTCTCCTGCGACAGAAACAACAGAATGACAAGTTTGTTCAAAAGTTCGCCGTATAGACGACGGCGAGACGATTTGGAAGATGGAGGAAGTCGTTCTACTGACTTTGATGCCAACGGCGAATCTTCGGATCCTTTTGATATCCCCAGCACCAAAAACGCCTCCATCGACCGCCTCCGCCGCTGGCGGGTACGTATTCGAATCTCTCTAATCTCTGTATTTTTTTTTTTTGTTCTTGGTATTATTTTCCGCTTTATTAGGGAAGGTAATTAGTTTTTAAGTAGGAAGATAATTTGTGAGATTTTTATGTTTGTTTTTAATTAGGGTATTAATGTAAATAGTAAGTAATTAATTAATCAGTCTTGTTTTTTCCTCATAAATTAATGAAAATGTGGGTTCTGTAGCAAGCTGCGCTTGTGCTTAATGCTTCTAGAAGATTTCGATATACATTGGACTTGAAAAAGGAAGAAGAGAAGAGACAAATATTAAGGAAGATAAGAGCACATGCACAAGTGATACGGGTAAATAATATTAATTAATTATTCTTTATTTGTTTAGAATTACAAGAAGTTATGTTTTGTTAATTTATGTTTTTTTTTTTTTTTTTTGGATTGTATTAGGCTGCTTATCTTTTCAAAGAAGCTGCCACAAGAGTAAATGGTACCATTTTTGTTCCTTAATTATGCTCAATGTAGTGCAATTTTGTAAGCGTAGTATGATATGCTTTAATTAGGTGATAACGATTACGATGGTTATTGTTTGATTTGTTATGCATCCTTTGTGCTAATTATCATGTATTGTGGAATGCTTATTATTATATGTTTTTGCAACTTAGCATCAAAGAAGTATTGTATATCATTTGTTTGTTCAAAATTTCAGATGTAAGAGTTTGATCTTTTATGTGTTGCCACTTATGTTTTGTTTCCTTTTTGTTTGCTCAATGTTAGAGGTAGTGAGGGCATCATATCTTTCTAGAAATCTGAAGCATTCCTTTTCTTGGTCTTATTTATTTTTCATTTGCATTTCATGGTTCTCATTTTAATAGAAGGTTGCTCTGGTGTAGTTGCACTGCAGCAGTTTTGAAGTATGTATTGGGCATTGTTTATAATAGATTTCATGTTCATCTTTTCACTTGTTAGTTGAATGTGTAATTTACGATTTCTCTGTTTATCTCTGAGTAGTTCCGTGCTCCACAGGTTTTTAATTGTGTTCTTGTCACAAGTAGTATGTTTTGAAAATTTTAAACATGCTGATTGTATGTGAACTGACTTGAATTTGTCGTTGATAGGAACCACAGAATCACATCCATCCCCAGTTGGTGATTTTCGAATTAGCCAAGAGCAACTTTCTGCAATCACGAGGGATCATAATCATGATGTTTTGGAGGAACTTGGTGGGGTAAGTCTACAACAAGTATTTCTCTTCTATTGTATGTGTCTTTTTACTGTTCTTATCCTACATTTCTTTTCTTGTTTTATATCTTCACCAGGTAAAAGGGGTTGCAGATGCCTTAAAAACTAATGTAGAGAAGGGAATTTATGGAGATGATGCTGATTTACTGAAACGGAAGAATGCATTTGGATCAAACACATATCCTCAGAAAAAAGGAAGGAGTTTTTGGGTAACTTCTTTTGCAGATTTGTCCTTAGCATCATTACTTACTTTTTGATTATTACATTCTTCCTGTTTCCCTCTCTACTTCGGAAAAAAAAAATGATTAAATTTTATTTTGTGCTTTCTGCAGATGTTCCTTTGGGAAGCTTGGCAAGATCTTACTCTGATCATATTGATGATTGCTGCAGTGGCTTCTTTGGTGCTGGGCATAAAGACAGAGGTGAGTTTCTGCAGGGCATAACTGATTTTGCCACCATTTTATGACTATAAATCAGAGGAATGCTCCATACAGAGGTTTCAATGAATTGATTCATTTGACAACCTGATCCTCACTTCTTGGAGGCGAATAAATTTTGGTTTCTCTTGTGCTTACGTTATATAAGTGGTAATTAATGTGGTCTGCTTTTGGGAAATAACACTGATGGTTGGTTAAGAAAAAGAATCACGTACATGTGTCCACACAGTATGAACATAGGTCCTGTTATGTAAATGTGTAATCACACAAAAAGATGGCATTGGTGCATTAAAATACTGGAAATTAGCCATTGAGTTCTCATAGTTTCTTGGTTGTGGTCTCCATGTCAATTTGCATGCTATATGTTTGTAATTGTTTCTTCACCTGCATCTAATCAATAAATTGTTGTTTGCTTAGTCAAAGTGTCTTGCATTTTCTCTTCCAGGGTATTAAGGAAGGATGGTATGATGGGGCCAGCATTGCTTTTGCAGTTATTCTTGTTATTGTTGTGACAGGTATGGAGATAAATGTGTTGTGATTTATGTATTTGAATTGGGAAAAATTAATTTGCATAGAGTAGCAAATATGTGGATCTTCCATTGCTTAGTTGAGTTTTTTGTTATAATCTCAGGATAATACCCATGTGATTCAGTTTCAAAGTTAAAGTTAGTCAAATCTATTTGGTTTCTTGTGTTAAATGTCCTATGGATGAAATACTGTGGTAGGTCTTGTACGATGATGCCTGGTGCCTTGTGACATATTTTGCATTTTGTTTCCTTGCATTTCTTTATATTAATTTCTGTTCCTGAATTTATGAAAAATTTCCCAATAGCAATCACAAAACTGTTGCAACTCAAGTAACAGAGACAGAAATAGACAATGGACGAATGAAATTTGCTTTATTATCAATAGGGGAAAAGTGTTTACAGTGGCAGAATAAGGCACATTCGAGAGGGCCTGCATTCCAAAATTTCCACCACACCAAAACACAAAGCATCTCCCCTCTCACCTCACGCACTCCCCTATTATACCCAATAAAGCTGTCAGAGAATCCTAACAAACTTGCCACCTCAGCCTTCTAGATGGAATAACCACTGAAGCAGCCTACTCAAGGAAAACACAATAACAGAATGGAAATAATTGACAATAGCATAATTTGGGGCAGTAGCATTCTCTGGGCCTTCAAGCACGTCAGACTCCCCTAGCTGCATTTGGGCCTCTCTTCTTCTTCCTGGCATATTGGAAGCGGATCAGAGGCTTATCGAAAACCTGTTACTGCAAATGTTGAAAATAGAAGAGCTTCTAAATAGCGACGATATTACATAATTAACAGAACTACCAGTTATGCAGAAGTGAACAAAAAATGGAGATACATTCAATTCCATTGACTGTTTATCATTGTTATCTTGAATTAATTCACATCGGTCCATTTGTCGTATATGCATATATTTGTGAATTCCATGCGCTATGCCCATATAGCATTAGTATTTTCTGTCTTCAGATACTTTGTGACTATAATAAAGCTGAAACTCTTGAACAGCTATGAAGTGCTATAATTTTTCAGTACTGGCAGAATATTTTTATGATCTACCAGGTTGTTCGGTACTTATCATTTATCATGTTTGTCTATATTCATCTGTTTGGTAACATCAAAGAAGCCTTCAACTGCAATTTGCTTGCTTCATTGGATTTTTAATGTTTGGACTAGTTAATAGATTATGATAGGAAAGACCTGTTATGGGGCTAACAAACTGTCACTGGTGGTCCTATAAGATGCTTAGACAATCTGGTTATGCTCTCTGGTCGCTTTGTTAAAAGTGCAAATTTTCTTCTAAGGACTAACTTGATGGAGATGATGTATGTATCCTTAATGGATATGTATCTTTTGCTTTTTTTGTGGTTACTAATATTAGTTTGAACTTCGAGCATCCACAAGAATCAGTTTGTATATATTCTTCCTATGCTGAAGGGAGCTTACTGACTTGTCCCCTCTTCTTTTCTTTCTTCAGCTGTTAGTGACTACAGACAATCTCTTCAATTCCAAAATTTAAACGAGGAAAAGAGAAACATACATTTGGAGGTGCCTTTCTACAACACCATTTTTTTTTTCAATTATGGGCATTTATTTGTCTTGTATTTCACCTCTAAAGGCATATTTGTAGGTTATCAGAGGAGGTAGAAGAATTGAAGTGTCAATATATGATATTGTTGTTGGTGACGTTATACCCCTTAACATTGGTGATCAAGTAAATGCCTTCTTTCTCATTTTTTGATTTTTTTTCGTTTCCTTTTTCATTCTCTACACATACTTCATTGGCATCCTTCATATTTCTCAAGGTTCCTGCTGATGGAATTTTAATTACCGGTCACTCCCTAGCTATTGATGAATCAAGTATGACTGGAGAAAGCAAGATTGTAAGCCTTGGACCTATCTTTCAGCATGTTGATATTGCATTATAACACTCTTTGTATTCAGGTATGAATGGTTTCTTTGCAGGTTCAAAAGAATTCCAGGGAACCATTTCTAATGTCCGGCTGCAAAGTTGCAGATGGTAGTGGCTCTATGCTGGTAAAATTTATATGTTCTCTCTCTCCCTCTCTTTCTCTCTCTCTCTTTCTCTGTAAGTCAATAGTTTTCAATTTCTTTAAAAATCCATATTGTTGATTCACTAGGCAACTTATGGAGGGATACAGTTAGGATCTCAACATCGTTTTTGTTTTCCATTTATTTAAGAGGAAAGAATAGAGTGAAAAAGGGAAAAAGGCAGGTAGTATGTGCTGCAACCTTTTTGTTTGTTCTCAAGGGACCGAGGGTTTGGCTTTAACTCTAGTCTGAACCCATTCCTTTTACTTTCATGGGGATTTGAATTCCCCTCGTATTATTTTGGACATGATATTTTAATCTAAGCATTCCAAATTTAATGAATGGGTAAGACCTAATTATCCAAATCTAACACTACAATTTGCGTATTACTTATTTATGCACTTTAAATTTATTGTAGAAAGCTAGAAACGGAAAGGAGAACCAATTCAAAAAAAAAAAAAAAGGGGAAATAAATACAGACTATACAATAAGAAACCCGATTTCAAATTAATTACTGTGGACCCAACTTTGCATGAACAAGAAATGGATGCTGTAAGTGATTAGATAGCTACAAACTAGAGATGTATTACAGGCTAATCTGGACAGAATAGGGTTTGTTTCTTCTTTTTTTTTTATTTTTATTTTCTTCCAACGGTTGTTTGTTCCTAGAGTTGAATCATCAAGGAATATCTACATAAAACGGTGGCAATGAATATCATGAAATTTTAGCTTTGTTTTTGTTTGAAATGTCATTTAACAAGATCTTAGCCATTCTTTTAATTTGAATGACTTAGATTAAAACAACATGATATATCACATTCTAAAGAATATCAGAGGATTTCAGTACTTGCAAGGGAAAGCACCATTGGGATGAATGGCCATTGGTGATTTTGGAAATACTTTGAGGACATTTTTTTGTTATGTAAATTTTCTCATGCTCATTTGCTTTCTTCTTCCCTTCCCCCCTCTTTTTGTAATGTTCCTGAAGCTATTAAAGGCTTTCACTTTTAAGGTAGGATTGCAACTTTTCTTGCCTGTTGTAGAGATTGTCAATATCTTGTTCTCAACTGACAAATATAGTTAAGGAAGCAAAGGCTGTGCTTTCATGGTAGGGGTTGATGGTTTATTTGCCTCTGTTTTACCTTGCTAGCTGACATGTCTTTCTTTTTCTTGTTTTTGGTTGTCTGCAGGTGACGGGTGTTGGAATTAATACTGAGTGGGGTTTGCTCATGGCTAGTATTTCAGAAGACACTGGTGAAGAAACACCTTTGCAGGTTGGTCTTCTCAATATTGGTTTGTGATAACTTTTTCTTTCTTATACGTTATATTTATTGTTAGTGACTGCTTACAGGTGCGCTTGAATGGGGTTGCGACTTTTATAGGTGTTGTGGGGCTTACAGTAGCTTTGCTTGTCTTGATAGTCCTTTTAGTCAGGTAACTGTGATATCTGTTTCTGTGTCCTCTTCACATCCCTTTATATCTGTATGTTGAATTTGCAAATTTGATCCAACAGATATTTCACTGGCCATACGAAAAATTTTGATGGAAGTGCTCAGTTTAAAGCGGGTAAAACTAAAGCTAGTACAGCAGTAGATGGAGCCGTTAAAATTCTCACTGTTGCGGTATGTACTCTCTTCTTCAAATGTTATCTATAGTCTCTATATGCCTTCGATTAACTAACTTCATCACCGTTGCAGGTTACCATTGTTGTAGTTGCAGTGCCTGAAGGGCTTCCCTTAGCAGTTACTTTAACGTGAGTTTCCCTACTCAGAAAATTAGTCCAATATCTTGGGCAACATCGTTTATCCAAATATCAGCCATTATTTATTTCATCAGCAGTCATCGGAAGTTCATAGTACTAGTCTCTTTCATTAACCCATGCATTTTATGCTGTTCGAGGAAAAAGAAAAGAAAAGAGAAAAATCCCACGCACTGTGTTGTTACCTTTTTTAGCAGATTATTACCTAACTTTCCCTTTATATGGCAGATGGTGTTACTTCTGACTTTCATATGCTTGTTTCATGATTGAATTTTTTTATACTTAAATAGACTTTCTGTTTTTTCTATGACAGTCTTGCATACTCGATGAGAAAAATGATGAGAGATAAAGCTTTGGTATGTGATGTTCTATTTTATTGTTGGTGCTTTTGCCAACCTTGGCATCCTCTGTGGCTTGATAGAAGTTGAATTGCAGGTGCGCCGGCTGTCTGCCTGTGAAACTATGGGCTCTGCCACAACTATTTGCAGTGATAAGACTGGGACTTTAACCTTGAATCAGGTAAATAGTGAGGAAATTAGTGTTGCCATAGTTTTCCCTTGGCTCAGATAGGGAGTGAGTGAATGTCTTTCTTCTCACATTGTTTTCAAATACATTTCTTTTACTCACAGATGACTGTTGTGGAAGTTTATTCCGGAGGACAAAAAATCGAACCTCCAGACAGTAAATCACAGTTGCCTCCTATTTTGTCTTCTTTACTTGTTGAAGGCATTGCACAGAACACAACCGGCAGTGTTTTTGTTCCTGAGGTAAGTTCAAGGGATTGCTCTCTCTCTTTTTCCTTAAATATGAAGATTGTAATTGAGCAGCTGATCAAGTATCTACTGCATCATGTGATATGCGGTTGCTGATCTTTGGCAGGGAGGTGGAGATCTAGAGATTTCTGGATCGCCAACAGAAAAGGCCATTCTTGGATGGGCAGTCAAGGTCTGTTTTTTAAACTTCATCTCGTTTGCTATATAAGCTGGGATTTTTAATTCTCAATCAGATCATGGGTATACCTTGTTTGCAGCTGGGGATGAATTTCGATGTTGTCCGATCTGAATCCAATGTCATCCATGTATTCCCATTCAACTCTGAGAAGAAAAAAGGCGGCGTGGCACTGCAACTGGTAATATAATTACATTGTTAATTTGTTATGGTAACTTTAGTAAAAGCAAATTTACAAAGTTAATTGTGGGACTATGCTTTGGAAAAAAATGATTGCTGGCCAAGTACACACTATCCTCTATTTCTAAGAATGTTAAAAGCCCAAGAGTGTGTTGTTAGTGTTTTTTGTAACTCAACTCTATGTATGTTAAATAGCAATTGAACTGTTGCCTTTATGATTCATTCATTGCACCATTGTGCTAAAACTGATATGTACAGTACCCATGTCTCGGGTATGAAGTTATTCGACTCATTTGAACATCATTGACTAGCAATAATCAGAATTTTTCTTCAGCTAAAGTTTTGGTGCGCGAATAAAACTAGCTGAGTGAGATTTATTCTTCTAAGCAATTCAGAAACTCTGGATGTCTTGGTCCACAATTTTTTTTATACAGATTAGAAATATAGTCCATATGTAATGGAAGATTAATTGAAAATTTTGAACTTTAACAAATGTTGTATTTGGCTTTTAGATGTGTGATTATAAAATTGTCTTATTTTACAGACTGACTCTCAAGTGCATATACATTGGAAGGGGGCTGCCGAAATAGTCTTAGCCTCTTGTTCAGAATACGTTGATGCAAGTGGTAATATAGTGCCATTGGATCAAGATAAGGTTGGTTCCAAGTGTTGTTTCCCCTGATAAGTTTGTCCATGTAATTTTTTTTTTAAAGGAAGTCAGTCACAGTTGTTAGCTTTAAGCTAGTCCATGTAATTTTTTTTTCTGTTCTCTCTCCCGTCAGATTTTTCTCTCTATTTAGTGAACGTTAAATCTGAAAAGCAATTTTGTTTGTTTAGATCGCGTTAAGAGACAACTGTTATCGTTGATGGTGTTATTGATGTTATAGTCAGATTCGTTTTAGTGATTCTGCTCATTGATTGCAGATGTCGTTTTTTAAGAAAGCCATTGAAGATATGGCATCCTGTAGTTTGCGTTGTGTTGCCTTTGCGTATAGAACATATGACATGGACAAAGTTCCAGCCGATGAACAAGAGCTAACTCAATGGGAATTACCTCAAGGTGATCTTGTTTTGCTTGCCATTATTGGCATAAAGGTATGTGTTGCCATATGGTCAAAGATGATCTTTTATTCTCACTTGTTTATGATAACATCCTTATTTACCAATTCAGTTTGTTGATTTATGCAGTCAAATTTTGTTTCATTCAGCTGTTATATTTGCATATACAATAGAATTTTATTTCACTCTTGACTGTTAAGGCTTATATTTGCATGCTAACTTGCATATAAATTATGCAGGACCCATGTCGTCCAGGTGTGAGAGATGCTGTTCGACTGTGCCAAAATGCTGGTGTTAAGGTATTTTTGCTTGTCAAGTTTTGTATGCTGAAAACCTGTCTGTGACTGACAATTTCCATCATTTCTTGTATGCAGTTTGTCTCTTTGCTCTCTAGGTTGGTTTGCTTGTTTGTTTGTTTGTTTTTTTTTTTTTTTTTTAAGCTGTGTTGGATTGATTGATTCTTGTGTATGCTGAATGCTGGTCTGTAATGACTTTGAAATCGTATCTATTCCTATATGAATGATTGTTTTGAACAAGCAAATTTCAGTTGTATACGATTAATAACATTTAGTTTGCCTTTTGAATTTCTGACCACATATTCTAGGTCAAAATTTATTTATTTTTAAATTGTTGAGTGCTTGTTTCCTTTGGAATTACTAAACTCATGGTTTCAATAACTTGCTCCATATTAATTGCAATGCTCCTATGTCCTGGTTTCCCCCTCCCTCTTGTGAGTCAAATAATTGTGATATTTGATGCTCAACTAGTTTGTGTTTCTCGTTTGGTTTTGGTATATTTTTCCATAAGTATAAAGATAGATAGATTGAGTTGACTGTAGATGTTATCTAGGTTTTAGTTTTGAATGTTAATGCAGTTCGTTCTTTTACGCTCTGGTGATTTGGAAGATTGTCGATCAAAAGATGATTCTATGCTTGAGGGTTTTCTTAAATTGAGGGGAATGCCCTGATACATGTTTTGGTTCCCAAGACAGATCACAGCTTTATTTCTCCCAGTTTTAAAATATATAGCAGTAGGCAAGGACATAACTTTGTTCTTAAATTTTATTTATAATTTTGGGAGGTGATTCTGAAAGCATGGGAAATTCTTTTCAGCTTTCTTTTCATCCTGAGCTCTCTCTCTCTCTCTCTCTCTCTCTCTCTCGCTCACTGAGTCTTTATATATTTACCTTTCAAGAGCAAGAAACTGGTCCTGATAAACAACACAACAACTCTATTGAACTGCATACATAAATTAATTGTCAAGAACTTTTAAGTGAAGCACAGATCACTTAGCATTTCCCTGTTACTGGGGATGTTGCTTTGTTTGGTTGGGAAGTCATCTAATCTTTTTCCTATTAGTGTAACAGTTTGCAGAAGTTTTTAACCTTATTTATATGGTTATGCCTGTGAGAGCTGCAATTAGATGAAGTCTAGCGTTTCAATTTTCTTGTCTCAAGTTGATGCTATTCCATAGACTTGAGTGTTGAATCTTGGACCCTTTTTTCCTTGATATATGCATATTTGATTAGCCATTTATTGAAATAATAACAGGGAGCTTTTGCAAATAGGTACGCATGGTAACTGGTGACAATCCTCAAACTGCTAAAGCAATTGCTTTGGAATGTGGTATACTGAGTTCAGAAGAAGATGCTGTGGAGCCTAATGTTATTGAAGGAAGAGTGTTTCGTAGCTATTTAGATGCAGAAAGGGAAGAAATTGCTGAGAAGATCTCAGTAAGAATTGCGTCTCCATTTATTGAACATTGGCTAATATTTCAAGAGCCGAATTTCTTTGAAACACCATTTGATATTGTTTAGGTGATGGGGAGGTCTTCTCCGAATGACAAGCTTCTGCTTGTGAAAGCATTGAAAAAGAGGGGACATGTTGTTGCTGTAACTGGAGATGGAACAAATGATGCTCCTGCACTAAATGAGGTTTGACTGCTTTATTCTTCTTCTTGTTTTTTCAATGCTTTTACAACAATTACATGCCTTCAAAGAAAATGCATCACACTGTTCACTTGGAGGATGTTTGGTGAAAGTTTAGAATTCTGTGTCAAGTAAGTGTTTGATATAATGCAGTCACCTTTCATGATCTGGTGGGCAATTTCAACTTTCAAGTGTTACTTTTCTTACAAAACAGTGGTTTTGGTTAATAATTTCAATTGCTTAGTTTTGTTATGTTCCTTTATCAATGGTTCCTAATATTATTATGATCACTAATCATTTTTCACAAGTTACTGACTTACTAAGATGCTGTTATTCATTTTTTGAGTTCAGGCAGACATTGGTCTTTCAATGGGTATTCAAGGAACAGAAGTTGCTAAAGAAAGCTCAGATATCATAATTTTGGATGACAATTTTGCTTCAGTCGTGAAGGTTGGCATTTCTTCCAGCTAATTTTAGTTTGAATTCACTCTTTTGTGCTATTGCAGGACTTCAGTTCTTCTAAATTATCTTGTTTACTTGTCACAGTAATCAGGTCCTAGGCCTTCTGTTGCTACTTTAATATGACCATAGAACAACAAATAGAATTGAACTCTCTAGACTATGAGTATTTTATGGCCAATGTTGTGATATTAACCTTTCATTTTTTTTTTTTTTTTTTTGTGACTGCAATTTCAATAATTTTCAATGTCTCCTTAATGCAGGTTGTGCGTTGGGGTAGATCTGTATATGCAAATATCCAGAAATTTATCCAGTTTCAGCTTACCGTTAATGTTGCAGCTCTTATTATAAATGTTGTGGCTGCAATTTCTTCTGGTGATGTCCCCTTAAATGCAGTGCAGGTATCTTCACTCTTTTACTTTCTCACAACTGAAAAATAAAAAATAAAAACTGCTTCAGTTCTTTATTCATTCCAATGGTTCCATCTATATTTTAATACAGCTCCTTTGGGTTAACCTTATCATGGATACGCTTGGAGCATTGGCATTGGCTACCGAGCCTCCGACAGATCATCTGATGCAGAGACCTCCAGTTGGTCGCAGGTAAGAAAGTAGAATTTTGAAGATCTTAGAAGTTGACCAGTTTTATGCCAGAACACTGTCCTGCCTCGTGTGTAATTTCATGAAATGAATTTTTATTTGGAAAAATTAGAACTGTTAGAGATACCATTTTAGGTGGAAATTGGATGTATTATAGTATAAGTGGTGTCCCATTTGGACTTTAGAGAAGTAGATAGCTCTGTTTTAGTTTGATTCTTAAACCTGATTTATGGCTTTCCCCTGCTACAAGTTGAAACCTGCCTATGCCTAAAATCCAGCCTGGTCTTTTGTTGGCTTCTGTTATTTGATAACTTCTTTTTTTTTTTTTTTGGGGGGGGGGGGCATATCTTCTGTAACAATGGTGGTGCCCTTTGTAACAGATTGAGAAGTTTTAACCCTTATTCTACAGCAAAATGCCTCTGCTCTGGTCTTTAGTTCACTTAGTGTCTTTTTCTTTCTCTACTATCACACTAATTGAATACCGGAGATGTGCTTTTGCATTTTCTATGATTTACCTACTGGCTTATATACTTCTTCGCTTAGTGTCTTTTTCTTTCTCTACTATCACACTAATTGAATACTGGAGATGTGCTTTTGCATTTTCTATGATTTACCTTATGGCTTATATACTTTTTCAGGGAGCCACTAATAACAAATATCATGTGGAGGAACCTCCTGATACAGGTACATATTATTTGGTTTTATTCCATATTTTGGCAACGTTTAACACTTTAATTGCTTACAAGTTTTGTGCTTAAGAGTTTTTTCAGTCACAAAATATAATAATGGTAACTGTCAGTTGTGGTTTGTAAACTTTCAGGCAGCTTATCAAGTGAGTGTGTTGCTTGTCCTTAATTTTCGAGGGCGGAGTTTACTGGGTTTGGAGCATGAAACCCCTCAGCGTGCAAATATAGTGAAGAATACCTTGATATTCAATGCGTTTGTGCTCTGTCAGGTATGTCTTTTTAACTCTTTTAACAGATTGAAGCAACGAATATTTGATATGATTCTAGTTTCATCCCATTTTAGCGTTGTCAATTTAATTTGGTGGTCAAAGACCATTAAGCATAATAAGGGACTGATTTTTTGAACTGCAGATCTTCAATGAATTCAATGCCCGGAAGCCAGATGAATTTAATATTTTCAAAGGGATTACAAAAAACCGCCTATTCATTGGTATAATCGGAATAACACTTGTACTTCAGGTAATACCTTCTATAACTTCTTTAGTGCCCTAGGTTTTGGGCCTTCTGTGTGCTGTGCATGAACGTGCTTTTCGTTTGCTTTTTTACAGGTAATCATAATTGAGTTTATTGGGAAGTTTACTGATACGGTCAGGCTCAATTGGAAACAGTGGCTGATTTCAGCAGTTATTGGTGTTATCAGGTAAACTGCAGCCCTTGGAAGGATTTTTCTGAGTTCCAGCATAGCAGCTTATTACTTTGTGATTTTCTTCAGATGTCTAAACTGTAGTTTTCTCTCTTCTTTTTACTTTCCAACCAGTTGGCCGCTTGCTGTTGTCGGTAAACTGATACCTGTTCCACAAACTCCCTTGCACAAGTTCTTTACAATGATGTTTCATCGAAGTTGTAACACTCCAAGTAAGAATCATTTGTTATTTGTCTGTTGTTATCTTCTCTTCATTGAGTGTGACGCATCAAGTCTGATATTTTTCAATTAATGTCTTTCAGGTAGTCAGTAGAAATCTCAAAGATTCACAGTACTAACACCAACCTGTCTAATGTAAATTTGGTAGTTCTGTCAGCACAGTTTCTCCTTTATAGGACGATACAGGTTTGCTCAGATGATGAAGAAAAGTTTTTCAGCAGTGTTTTTTTGGCGCTGGATACCTTATGTTTTGGTTTTTATCGAGGATTGTTTCTTTCAGGTATATATTTTTTCTAGACAGATTTTGTTTATGGTTATGAATTCATGGAATCAAATGAATTAAACATGCTTTTGAATTAATGCATGGAATATTTATTCAGTCTGAGCTTTTCGTGTTTGTCTTGAGTTATTCTGTCGATTCCGGAATTTGAACCAGTGGTGAGCGATGTAATTTGTGTAATTGTGGCATGTCTTGAGTTATTCTGTCGATTCCGGAATTTGAACCAGTGGTGAGCGATGTAATTTGTGTAATTGTGGCAACCGTAGTTTTAAATAACGATAGTAATAATCGCAGATGGTGGCTTATAGTAATAATAAAGTGATGGTCGTTATGATTGATATGTGGATATATTAACAGTTGTTAATAAGTTTTTTCTAATTTATATATTTTTAATAATTTTATTAATTAAGCATATTAATAAGATATTTAATAGCTTAATTTTATACAATAATAGTTGAATTTATTATATATATATAAACAATTTGAATAAATATATTATAAAATATTTATTTTTAAAATAATTATTGTAGTAAATCATAATAATATTTATCTTTTTGTTATTGATGTTGTGATTCTTGTCTATCAAAATTACAATCATAACTAATTTTGAAAAGCAAATTAAAAAATAACATAACATTAAAAAAAATTAAAGGATTAGTTTATAATTTATTCAATTAAAGCGACATTTGTTTTGCAGCTCTTGAAATAAAGCATTCAAGTTAACCAAAGTAGAATAATAAAAAATTAAATCATACATTAATCCTCCTAGTTTTGATAAATTAATTAATTAAATTTTAATGTTTTGAAAACTAGCTATTTAATCTTTTAATTAGATCATATTTAATGAATTATATTTTATTTTATAAAATATATATATTTTTATCAATCTTTTTCATGGTATAATTTATTTGTTTCTTTTTCAATTTTTTTTTAAAAGAAGAATAAATTAAAAAAATATAAAATGAACAAAATAAATAAATTATTGGTTTTTGAAATAGAAGAACTAACTAAATTATTGTTTCAAATTTTTTCTCAAGTTCCTCTCTCTTCTACTTTTGTTGTCACCCAAAACTTCTCTCCCTCTCCGCCTCTCATCTTTGCCTTTCATTATTGCCTGAATTTCAACAGCAAAAATGAAATAAATTTTGATTTTTTTTTGTAACGTCATTATATAACAATAACTAACAACATTACATACAACATTACATAATGATAATGTAATGTTAATATTGTTATTTATCGTTATTCATGCAAAACGACATCAAAACATCTGTAATGTTAAATAACGGTAACATAACAGCTTTTTTTCTAAACTTTGGTGGCCACTGCTTTTCAATTATACAGGTTATAGATGCACTTTTGGATTAAATATGCGATCGGGTTCGGACTTGGAACACACTTGGAATGCGGCTAGTTATCTAGGAGGAAGATTTGCAATTTAAACCGCTGACTGGGAAATCACCAATTTGAAGTGGAAGTTCGTGTTTCATTGCAAACAGTCTCTGCACAGATTCAGTTCTCTGGCATTTCTGATTGTAATTTTTTATGGATGGGTTCATGACCAATTCGTGTGGTTGGCAACCCTTTTACATACACCAGTTGTCTTACACCGTAAGTGGCTAAGGGAGGTCATTCTCCACAAGTTGGCGTTTAAGGAATCTGCAAGAAACCATGTGATATGAGATGAAATACTCATCTTGCAGTAAGGATGAAAAACTAAGCAGGTTTTTTCACGGTGCAGATGCTTTGGTTATCTGTCAAACGGGTGCATGTAGGAGATGGATGTTGGAAGCTGATTGACTGATCTGAACATACGTTGAGAAACAAAACGGAAAGACTGGCCTAAAGAGTTGCACACCCTTTTCTTTCACACTTTAAACCAGAGTTTTAAAATGCACACCAAACAATGGAAGTTTCGAAGACATGAAGTCCTTTGGCCTGATTGTATGCAGTGCATAACAAGAAATCATTCCTTAAGATTATTGTGAAGCAATTGATGGAAATGGTGCATGGCGTTCTCAACTGCAGGAGCGTATCTGCCACTACAGTATGCTGGTGTTTCAAGACCTCTCTGGACACCTTGGCATAGCACGACATCTTCTATCTGCGTATTTATATTAGAGTTATAACACCCTCCAAATTGGCAATAATTTTTATGGTAATGGAGCATGGATGACCAACCTGCACACTTTCACTGTCAACTAGACTCCTCTCTATGAAATCTTTGTCGTCCTGCCACCAATTTTTTTAAATTAGTTTATCAGATTTTGCTTTCAATTGAACATTTTCACCGGAGTATAATCGCCATTATCGATTACCAGCATTGCACTAGACAGCAGAAAATAATTATTTACCATTACACGCAGATCATAGTTATAGCATATGAAGCTCATCACCCCTGTAATTCATCAGGTTCAACTAGGACCAACCACCGATAGGATTATAGTTTTGGAACAGTTGAGGAAGATAAAGCGTATATGACATGCCTGAGTTTGAGTAGTTATAAATCCTGAGCCTTCTGGCTAAGACTAGATATTCGTCCCTAATGTCAATTGTATGCACACATTTGCGTCTAAGATGAACAAAATCACTCCAAATAGTGGAAGCCACAACAAGTCAAGCTAACATGAAGCTTCAGCTTAAATTGCTTTCAGTTATAAGCCCATATATAAAAAGAAGGAAGCAAAGTTTCATTTTGTCTGTTGAATCTCAACCTCCTTCCTAGTAACTAAAATATAAGCGACCTCATTTCAAGCACGCGTGCAGCTAATTCGCAATGACACAACCACGAAGTTAAGCATCTTTGGTTATGTTATTTTATTTTATTTATTTAGAAGTAGAAAAGAAAATTGATCCTTCATCTTTCAAAGAACTGATAAATGACAACACAACATATATCATCTTGTATCCTCACAATACACAAGCAGTCAGGCCTAGAGCATACCTTGAGATGAGCTTCAATAAAGTAGTCAAATATCACTTGGCATTTCCTGGGTCCTAGTGGGAGTACCAGATTAGTGTCCATCCATGGTCCATACCTACGAGATCAATAAAATACTTAAGTTACTAGAGAATTGACATAACATATGAATTAACACACGGTAGCCAAGAGGGTACCTGTTAATCATAAAGTTTGGATAAATAAAAGCATATAAGGCTTTTGACCCTAGTCGATCAATATCATCTTCACTTTCTGTTGAGCCACCATCACAACTTTGGATGCTAACCTTTTCATGTATCTATCTCAAAAAGAGCAACCATTTATATAAGAAAGCAATCATAATAAGAATGATATATATCAGAAAAACATTTAAAGTGATCTTGCAAACATAAAATGTGCATGATACAATACATCAATGGAATCTTTTAGATTGGTAAGAGTGAATATGATACAAAACGCAAAGTCCTTAGAAGGATATGAGGAAAAGAAGATAAGAGAAGCACACCGTTGTGGAGTAAGAATTAAGTTCAAGACCAGAAGCAAGGCCTTTATGTGCATAGGGTACATGGTAACCACCATCTAAGTAATTATCACAGAACACCTAAAAGGAGGAAACGAAGGAAAAGTAAATCATCAGGAATCTACGAAATCAAGCTACACATTATTAGCAGTAGCGATGACCACTGATTTCTACAAGGCTTGGCTCCTTATTAGAGAAGACGTCAAATCCATTTCGATGACCAAGACTTAATCTGGAACAGAGAGGGACAACATTCTCTTTGCACAATGGGAATCCCATCCAAAATCATAGGTATTAACATCACTTGATTAACTAGGAGGCAGAATAAGATGAAATGACCTTGATATCATTTAAGCCAAAATAACTAAGTGAAGGACAATTACCTTCCAGTTACATTCAATATCGTATACGCGCCTGCAAAGATAGCTTAGAGAAGAATCAACTCCACTTGCACTAAGTAATTCTGAACAGCTACCAAGCCATTCACTCCCCACTGTATTGTCAACTTCTTGCTGAGGTAAAATCTCTTTGTCCAAATTGAGGAGAACAAAAGGACCCCAAGTGCCTACCTTCAGTGGTTTAAGCCCAAACTCCTATGTTCCATGACCAGAGAAATCAACAAAATTATCAATAAAAGCAGAAAATGTCTTTCATGAATTGAAAATAGGATTGCCATTCTTATGTTTCAGCATACATTTACATCAAAATTTTGTATCCCTGTTATCCTGGTTGCTTTAAGAAGTGCTCCATCCAACCCATATGTCCAACCCTGTAAAAATTAGATTTATATGTAAAAGTTCAAACAATTACCCTTGGCTACGAATTTAACACACACTCTTGATTAACAAAATGATAAATCAAAATGAACTATTCCAAGATGCACTTAAAGTTAGAATTTTACAGGTTTAGCAAGGAGCTGTCTTTGTTTTGTGGTCAAGACCAAATAAATTCAAAAGTGAACTCACATGATAAGGGCATACAAAACAAGACTTTTGCCCATTTCCAGATGCAAGAAGAGAGGCATGATGGCGACACACATTGTGAAAAGCATGAATCTTGCCATCATCATCTCGACACACCAGAAACTCTACATTTCCCAATCTGCCATAATTGATCCCCCATTTCATTCTCAGAAATGAAGAATAAACGGTGAACAAAAGAAATATTGATTTGAAATTGAAATGCATATCAAAACAAAATCTGCACTCAATAATTTCCATTGAATGTTATAAGAACCAAATGAATTGGTTACACATGCATACAAAAGAATCCATTTCATTCTCGACACACCAGAAACTCTACATTTCCCAATCTGCCATAACTGATCCCCCATTTCATTCTCAGAAACGAAGAATAAAGGGTGAACAAAAGAAATATTGATTGGAAATTGAAATGCATATCAAAACAAAATCTGCATTCAATAATTTCCACTGATTTTTATAAGAACCAAATGAATTGGTTACACATGCATACAAAAGAATCCGTTAGCACCTAGTTTTATCAACTGGTAAGTTAATCGCTGGTGAACGAAGACAACTGGTATCAAATCCTGCTAGCATCTAGCATACGGGGAACTTAGAAAAGGGGAGGGATAACCCATGTTGGGCAGCTCAAGGCCATATAGACCACCTCGTGAGAAAGAATATAAAAAATAGAAAGCAGAATCCATATTCAAGCATGTTTCCTTTATTGTCTCAAGAAATTCAAGAAGTCAACAAAAACAATAAAAGATTCACTTTCTATATTTGGGCAAACCTATTTGCATTTAACATATAAATAAATGATTGAAACCTTCAGCCAACAAGAAATTCAATAATCAAGGAAAAAAAAACAGAAAACAAAAAACAAAAGATTCACTTTTCAACATGTGGGCATTTAACACACAAATAAACGATACCTTCCAGTGAAAAAATCATAAGGATTCTTTATCTGTTCAGTATATCCTGAAAATTCAAGAAATTGATGATACTTAGTTGTAATTCAAGAAACCAATTTAATTATACTGAAGAAGAGGAGGAAAACAAAAGAGGAAAGAACTTACCAACAGCCTGCCAGCCTTTATAGAAAACACGATGGAGTTCAAGGTCATAAAAAGAAGGATCAGTGTACCATGAGCTAGGTGGGGTTAAGGCTTTCTCTATAGGAATATTTGGGTCAAATTCATCAACTAGTTTTTGACAGTAGTGATCAGTTTGAAGGACAGAGATGGCAACAACAAGAGACCCCCGTTGTTGTTGTGTAATAATTGAAGCGTGCCTTTTGGTTTGGAGGAGGAGAAAGCGGTGAGTGGTGATCATGGGTTTGAGCAGTGCTGCCGTTGTAGTTGCAGTGCTCATGGTCATCGCCATGGTGACAGACTTGAAGGAAGTTACAAAGAAACAAAATGGTTATATGCAGGGACGAACTCAGAAATGTTGCAGTGAAAAGTAGAAGAAAATATTCAAAAGTAAATTATATAGTCTCTCTAGTTTTTTGAAACGAATAAAATAGTCCCTATATTTGTAAAAATATTTAATTAGTCCCTTTATCATTATTTACTAGATTTAATTTAATATTATTTTTTAAAAAAAATTAATTTTTTTACTCATCAATATTTTTATATTATTTTTTTCTATATCCTTGAAAAAATAACAAAGAACGTGGAAGGAATTAAATGAGTTTATTAATTAGTTTTTAAAACTAGAATGACTATTAATTTATATTGAAAAATAAATGGAATATTTTATAATTTGCTCAATATTTAAATATATTAATAAGTTATAACTTTTGTGGAGAAAAAAAATCAATTTTGTTTGTAAGGATCAAAATAAGAGTTTTTGAGAAAAGAGGACCAAATTGGTCATTATAATAGGATTTTTCTTTATTACCTTTTACCCATTTTAGATTTACTAAAAACAAATCACATTGAATTATATATATACTAAAATCGTAGGATTAAAAGTTGAATAAGACTTTTAAAGCAAAAATCATTAATATGCTTTTTTAGTTTAAAAACATTGGTGTAATCTCAATTAGGATATTTATTCCGGACCGTATGAGGTAATAAAAAGAGTTTTAAGGACCAAATATACTATATTAGAAAAATATTTTAATTTTGGGGTGCCAGGGCCGTCATTGCGTTCATAATTGGTTATTTATAAGAGGTGAGCAAACCGGCTGATTTCGGTTTTTAACATTTCAGTTTGATCTTAGATTAGCTAAACTAACCGAAACATAATTTAAAAACCGAATTTGTGTGTTTGATTTTGGGTTCCGTTTTTCTCAAAAAAACCATTTTTTTTAATGATTTTTTTAATTATTTATCAAATAATGTAAATAACCACGAAAAAAATGCATTATGAACTATAGAGCCATTCTTTTAATTCAAATAATTTAAATTAATTATTTATAAAATAATGTAAATAACTACGAAAAAAATGCATTATGAACTATGGAGCCATTCTTTTAATTCAAATAATTTAAATTAACTTATATAAAAGATAATAAATATTTATTTAAATAAAATTATAACATAAATCATAGGATGCGATAAAACATCAAAATTTAAATATAAATCTACTAATTCAATATATTATAAACAAAATTATCAAAGTTTAAATAACAATATATGTATATATATAAAATTCAATTTTCATTAAAAAATTTTAAAAACCAAGTCAAAATTGAATAATAAAAATTAATTTAGTTTCGGTTTCGGATTTTAATTCGGTTAAAAAGCCAAACCAAAACTGAATAACTAAATTTAATTCGGTTTTGATTTCGATTTTAATTTGGTTAGACAATCAACAATCAATTCCAACCGAATTTTACTCACTCCTAATAAATACCATAATAAACATGAATTAATATTTGCCAAAATAAAAACACAATATTGATATTATATTATATTATATGCTGATACAAATTAAAAATGGGTGAATGCTGATAGAAACAATCCAACTCTGCCTCTCCCTCTCCCTCATATATCGGTCTTATTTTTTAAAACTAATACACCACGTACGCATTACAAACAGGCAACATATAATACAAGCAAATTGAAGACCAAAGCACTTCAACTAGGGACGATCTTCTGGGCTCTCATCTTCCCAAGCCAATACACAAATGATTTGGTGGAATTCCTGAAGCCCAAGAATCCATGTTCCTTGCTCTTATTCATACACGATATAAAAGCTTCACCACCAAGCATGGTATCCACATACCACCAGCCTCCAACCTCCTCCAACTTAGTAGGCGACAATTGATTCTTCTTCACTATCTCCTCCCACACCGCTCCTTTATCCTTCATCCTCTCCGCGAAGGTCACTCTTTTTCCCCTTCCTCGAAACCATACTTTTCTATCCCGAACTGTTCTGCCAAAACTTTCCAAAGATGCTTCCACTTGAAGAAATCTGCGTTGTGGATATTGAATGCTTGGTTTTCAGCATTAGGCTCCACACATGCCCAAATTTGCTGCTCCGCCACCAGATCGGCATCGGATGCGATGGCGTAACAATTCCACGCCTCTTTAGTCCCTGGAAACATCAGCGGAGCTCCCTCGTGCTTGCATATGGCGGCGTAGACAGAGAGAGTTACAATTATATTCATCAAGCTATAGGGCGAGAAGCCAAATATGATGTCAGGACGGTGAACAGACCACGTCACTCCCTCTTTCTTTGCCGCTTCCTCGAACATAACATCTTCCAAAGTGTAGTAGAAATTGTCTACCTTTAATCTGGGCAGATCCTCTGTGAAAGGAGGATCATGCGATTCGATGTTGTAAAATGACTCAAAAGGGCCGATATAATTCTTGTTTCCGGTTTGAAGGCAGACATGGCGGAGATTAGTGGCGGCGGGGACGACAGCCTGAAGAACGTTCCGGAACATAAGGCCGTTGATCTTGCAGTTCTCTGCTTCGTTGGAACGGCTGGCCCAGGTGACATAAAAAATGTGAGTGACATCAGTGAGCTGAGAAAGCTTTGATTTTGTTTGGGCCAAGTCAGTGATGTCGCACTGGATGTACTCAACTGGGCAGTTCTCATGCCAGTTTGGCCGAGGACGACGGGCCACGCCGTAAACTTTCCACGGACCGCCTGGTGTATCGGAGCGTGGAAGGATTTCGGCCAAGCTGTTGCCCACAATTCCTGTTACCCCAACTATCAAGGCCACGCTCTGGCAGCTTCCTTGTCCCCCATGAACTCCCGGTTTCTTCTGCAAATCAAATCATGACAAGATCAACAAATGAGGTCAGAAAATCATAATAATTAATTAATTAGATCTAATTAAATACAATCAAGAGGATGGATTAGTGTTTTTAACCCAGGAAGCGCTAAGATCACCAGCCCACCACCAGCTCATTTTGTTATGTTTTGTTTTAGCAGAATGTAGCTGAGGAGTGTAGAAAAATGGAGAAGTTGGTAAAGATATAGGGAGATAACAGCAAGCAAATAGCAACAACTCAACAATCTCAGTTTTGGAATTTCTGATGCTTGAGTTGACGACAACTTGTCGCATTAACAAGGGACTGTCACTTGTGATATGGCCACGTGCAAGACTAAATTATAAATTAGTACTTCTAACTTTGAGAAACTAATTAATTAATTTTTATGTTTTAAAAATTAATTATTAATTCGTTTTGCCTTCTTTTCAATTTATTTTGTTCTTTTTTAAATTGAATAAATAAATAAATATTATGAAAAGACTAATGAGTAAAGAAAATATTTTTTAGAATAAAATAATATTAAATTAGTTTTCAAGTTTCAAGAAATGTATTAATAAAACTAATTATTCAGTTTTTTTTTTTTTTTTTTTCAGGTTTTTTTTGTCTTTTATTTTTAAAAAATAAAGATGGAACCAGTTGCCTGATTCTGTGGGTAAGGTTATCATAAAAGATATCTCCCATAGAGATTGATCCACGAGGACATAAATAATTTTTATTATGGTCATGTAAGATGGAGGTGTACGACTCCTGTATTCCTCATAATTCTCAATATAATAAATATAAAATATCTTTTAAGAAATTTCATCATTTTTCCTCGTTCTAAAAAAAAAAAAAGAAAAGAAAAGAAAAAAAACCTAATTTCCAAAGGACAAAACTTGTTGTTTTTGTTTTATTATAATCCGAAACATCTTGAAATAAAAAGGATATTAATACATATTGAAGTACGTCTCATTTGCACTTCTTCAAATAATTTATTGTTGCAATGTAACACTTAATTTTTATATATATATTTTTTACATAAATGCTTGAAAACATATTCTTGTTGATTTCATTATATAAGATTTTTATTAATTGTCCATAAAAATACTTATTGAGAGAGCTACACGTGGACAATTCTTCTCTTTAATTATTTATATTATGATTAATACAGTTAGGTGATGTTTGGTAATTAGGAATAAACTGATGTGAATGAGAATAAAAATTTTATTCCCACGTTGTAGTTGCTTGGTTAAAAGGAATGAAATGAGAATGAAAATGAAGAGTGAGAATGATAATGAAAATTTACACACAAATTAATTCTCATATAAGATGTGAGAATAAAAACAAAGAATGAGAATGGATTTTTTTCTTCAAAATAATAATATATTTTATTTATTTATTATCCATTAACTACTTTTACTACCACCACCATCACATTTACCACCACCGCAACAATCATAACAACTATCATAATCACCACCACCATCACTACGACCACCACTAAAACCACCACTCGTCATAACCGTCACCACTACCACCATCACCTTTATTATTTTTACGACCATTATAGTTTGATAAAATTATTTTTTTAATCATTATTTTTATTTGTATAAAAAATCAGATATTAAAAAATTTAAATTGTATTTCAATTCTTCATTAGTATTCCAAACACGGTATGAAAATACAAATGTCATTCCGATTCTTTAATTTTCATTTTCATTCTTGCATTTTTATTCGCATCACTTTATTCCCGATTACCAAATAACACCTTAGTTATTTAGAAATTAGTTTTTTCTTTTCTAGTTAGCCGTTTCCTCTCCTCTTCCTCTCCTTGTATATATAAATACACAGTAAAACTTAGAAAGGGAAGTCAGTTTGTGCATGTATAACAAAAAGAAAAATTGAGTTTTGCTTCTCTTTCTTTCTCTCAAGCTTTTCTATGCATTCAAACAATACTTTGGGAGTAACAATTGATTATTATATTTATTACGAGTAATTTAAATTTTTATTAAATAGTACGACAATCTGTGATTGATAATTTATTACGTATTTCATTTTATAATTATTATTGTATCATTAATGTGAAATTTTTTCTAAGTTAAAGTATTTCTAACATTATTATTATTATTATTATTTATAATGTGTATTTGTCCTTGTATTTATATTTTCTTTTTCCGTGAAAAGAGTTTTTGTCAAATTGCATTGGAAAAATCCATTTTATTTAATGTTGATTATATAACTATCTTACATTTATTTCAACTCAATCTTTTGTTACTCGGTATATTTATGTTTGCCATGATAATTTCAATATATATTGATATATTCTGGTATCAATTTTTGCATCCCCAAATTAAATTTTGCACTTATGAGAATAAATCAGTATTAGATCATGTTTAATTTTTAATTAATTCTAAAATTCAAATTCTTTGGGTTTGAATTTACTGACGGTTTATGAGCAATACCACACAAATTAAACAAATGAGTTTTCAAGAGTCGAAATTGAATTTCTGGTTTAGTAAATCAAAAATACTAAATTGACCACATAATCTATAATCTGTGATGGTAAAAATTGAGAAATGGTCTAAATTTTTTATAATTGGTCATTATTTGAGATGAAAGAGTACAACTCCCATATTTCTCATAACTTCTCAATATAATAAATATAAAATATCTTTTAAGGGATTTCAAAATTTTCCCCATTCTAAGAAAAAATAAAAAAACAATTTGTTTTTCCCTTTGGGAGACTTTTTGCTAAAGAAGGATTAAAATTGTTGTTTTAGTTTTTCCTCCACTTTTTTTAATATTTTTATATGTTTTTAATTAAAAAGTTAAATCAATACAAAGTAATGCAACCAATAACTTTAACTTCTGAAAAGATATGATTTTTGACACATGGCCACTTCATCTTCTCGTAGCATATCTGAACTTACATGTGTTACTTAAAAGGAAATCCCATGTTAGGTTCATGAGTCGTGAACAGATCATTGAAGTTTGAACCATTTATTTATTTATTATTATTATTTTAATGTTATCCATATCAATTACATGATGATCTGATGGATGATTATTGGAACTTTTGAATGTCGGGCCCCTTCCTCTTACCCAAATACAATGAACGAAGACAGTGAATAGATAACGATTTTGCTCAGAATACCGATCTCCTCTACAAGGATTTGCCCCTGCTAATATCCATTTTTTCTTAAGGTGTTGTGATCGGAAGATATTGCTTAGTGTTTTTAACCATATATTTTTTATTTTTTTTTACTACTATTATAAACATTTCTTTATTTTGGTTAATTTTTTTTTATCATATTTACCAAAAACAAAAAACAAAAAAATTAATATTCTGCAACAAGAAATGGCATCATACTATGTGTAATTTTCTTAGAGTACTTATTTAATTTTTTAATTAAGTTATTTGAGATTAACGTGGGCTTGTTGTCGAAGGTCAAGAAAAGGACCCCCACATTATTTTAAACTTTAATGCTGGTTATTATAAACATTTTTAAAATATTTTTCTTTTATAATATTTATTCGAAAAATATATATTGAAATCATACAAAATGAAAATGCACAATCCTAGCGATGTGTGGCTTTGTGATTTTCTTAAAGCAATTATCTAGTTTTTTAAGGCTTCTATAAAATTGAAAAAAAAAAACCTTGTGATTTAATTACATTAGGTCGACGATGGGTTTATCTTCTTAGCTTCGATGCTCTAAAAATTACCCGAAAATATTATAATGTTAAATAAAGAAAGTTACTATAAAAAGAAAAGAAGAACAAAAAGCAATTAATGGCAAAGCATTGTACTGTCAACTTGAAAGCAGCACAAGGAGCAATCCCTTCATTGGTATGGCTATTAATTTATTTTTCAACAATACAAAATCAAGTAATGAATTTTTTTCTTGATGCAAACTTAAAATTAATCTAATATATGTTGCAAAAAGACACTCAAGAATTGTGAAACTGCATTTTTTTAAGCTGAAAATCACAATAAATTAATCAATCTAAAATAAATTTGACCAAATCAATCCTCGTAATTCTAATGTTAGTTAACATAAATCCCTTCTTCAATCATGTATGTTATACTTAAACTTGTTAGCCAGCCAATTCGATAATCCATATCATAACATTATGTCATTCATCAGTAAAAGGTGAGATTGAATTCTTTATTGGACGAATTCGAAAAAACTAAAACTTTAAAGTATTGTAATCTACCTTAATTTTAGAAAAGAAGAGGACTTAGATAACAAATTAAATGATCAAAACCGCTCTTCATAAGTTTTTTTTTTTTAAAAAAAATTAATCCAAATTATGCAAAAGAGCTACCTCAATCTTAAGTGTTTCGAGATTAATTTCACGAACAATCGTATCTATGGATGAGGGTCATTGATTTCGTTTTCTTTTGAATTGATATAATTCTTTCATCTTTAACATAATATTAATAAAAATTAAAAAAAAATACGGATTATCTTAATTGAATCAAAACTGCTCTTTTAGGGTATCTTTTTCATTAACGAATTTTCACTTATATAGAAAAAAAACATGACGTGAGATATACTGAAGCAGGCAGATGCAAGGGAAGCATGTGGCAGTGAGGGAAGGGAAATAAAGGTGGGTGGATTTGGTAAAGTTGGAGGAGTCTTGACAGTGGAGGAGGGAGCACCACCATTGGCTTCTTTGAAAGGAAAAGTATGTTCATAAAAAATAACATGACGTGAGATATACTGCGTTGAGCTTGAGAAGTAGAAATAGAAAAGAGAAGTTTATGTGCTTTGCTAATACAATAAGCATGACATAAAGAGTTTGCATTTTTATCTGAAATAGAGATACTAGACTGACTCAAAACTTTAGCTATTGTGCACATGGAAGCATGGCCTAATCGAGCATGTCATGTAGTGAGACTACATGAGTGTGCTTGAATAGGGCAACATGAAGAAGATAGTTCAAATGGCATGGTTTAAAGAACATTGTCCAGAGGTCCTCTATGGTGAATTTTCTTCATGCGGATATCCTTGATTAAGAAACAATCAAGAAAAAATTCCAAAGAGACATGGTTAGATTTAGTAAAAAAAAAAAAAAAAAAAAGACAGATAATAAATTTTAACAAGAATTAGGACCATGAAGAATATGACTAAGTTTGTAAGAATGATTTTGTAGAGTGATAGAAGAAGAACCAATATGAGAAATAAGAAGGGTATCATTATTGCTTATTGTGATCTCCTTAGGACCTACATATTCAGAATGAATGGCTAAGTTATCAAAGTCAATCGTGAGATGGTGCGTGGCTCTACTATCAAGGACTCATTTTAGGCTAGTTTGGGTAGAGGCAAGATGAGATGTGGGAGTAGAGAGGAGTGGTAGATGAGTGTCATCAGAGTATTTAGGAGATGAGCAGGTGGAACTGAGGTGCCCAACGCTATGATAGTTATAGCAAGTTGGTGCTATAGGAGTATTTGAAGTGGGAGGCTGCCATGTTTGTTGTAATAACCAAAAAAAAAAAAAAGAGCACTTCCATTTTTTTTTAATTATTATTATTTAAAAAAAAACAAATACAAAAAAAAAAAAAAAAGAGAAACAGATTTAAGTCTATCCCAATTTTTAAAATTCAGTTTAGCTTAGTTGGATCACCTTTCAATAACAGAATTTGAGTTCAAATTGAATAACTAAAAATCTGAATTTTAAGGTATTTGATTTAGGATGAAACTTGAATTTGAAAGTGTTTGATTGAAAGTGAAACTCAAATTCTCAATATCTATAAAAGGGTAGTATCCTAAAAAAAAAGGGGGTAGGAAATTTTTTAGGGTTTTAGGCAGTAGCATTCTCCGAGTTGCTGTTCCTGTTGAAATTTTCTAGGCAGGGTTTCACTGCATTCTTCGGGGTTCTCCATTCGGGTTTGCAAATTCATAATTGCTGGGTTTTAAAGAACACAAGCCATCCAGTGTTCCTTTCAATCATTCCAGACGAACAAAGCACATCCACAACATCATAAATCCCGTAATCGAACACCTGCAACACGAAATCCCAACAACACCACACCAATTCTTTCAACGCCTTCCACTTCGTCCATTTCTGCCCAGGTATTTCAAAATATTTTATTTATTTATTTATTATTATTATTATTATTTTTTTTTTGTCAATTAGTCAGGTCTAAACATAAAAAGGATGACAGTAACGAAGGCTAAATAAGACACCCAATTGTTTGGTCATGAAACAATAGTGACGGGTTTGAAGTTTGAGTAATTATATTAAAGTAACTCAATTGGGGGAATGAGCTTTGTTTTGGTAAGGTAAGAAATTTAGGATTACACCCAGCAAAAAAAAAAAATAAAAAGCGAGGATGGACAAGAGAAAAGGGAGGGCTGAGTAGAAACGGTCTTAAAAAAAAATAATAAAAAAAATGAAGGGATCCTGGTATGCGGTGAGGGAGAGAGACGAAATAGGGAAAAGACAAGGAAAAGAAAGAAATGGCGTGAGAGAACCAGAAAATGAGAGAGAAATTCTAGGAATTTATTATGAAACATTTGACCAAAAGTATAAGCTTTTGTTAAGTGGGGTTCATGGGCTTGGCTTGGTCTGCGGCGAAATAAAAAAAAAAGAAAGGTGATTTGGGTTTGAATGGAGGCTGGGCCACTAGTTAAGAATAAAAATTAAAAAAAAAAAAAAAAAGGCAAAGATGGGTTCACTCTCTGCCTTTGCATTCCTCCATTTTTCATAAAAAAATAAAAATAAAAAGATGGATTTAATTCAGTCTCCAATTGGGAATGGAATATAATAAAAAATATATGAAGTTAGAAATTTAAGTTTTATGTATCTTGTATTTAATTCAGATGTGTAGAGGGGTTTAATTATTTTAATTATTTTTTTATTTGTATATTTTGTCTGTTGGTATTTAATTATTTTAGTTTTGATTTTTATGCATGCATGCTATTAATAAAATAATAATAATAATAATAAATTTTCTCAACGAAGTCTCCTCTTGGTAGGGATCTGTCGTTTCTAGCAACACGTATTAAATTACTTGCCATAATAATAAAACGTCCCTTTATGGCTCGAGTATATTTTTGTTTAATTTTTTGATTAAACAGAAATTCAAAAAAATATATACACAACAATGATAGTTTAATATATATATGAAAATTACGAGTCACCATAATGGACCCCATAGTGCAACCCAACAAGGAAGCGTACGATGTAAGTTTTGGGCTTCCATAGACAGCGCGTTTTGGGCTCCATAACATAAAGCCCAATTGAGATGATAATTGAGCTGGGTATATATATCAATCATCACTGACGGGCCGGAGCTTGCTGGAAATCATGATAACGCCTTATTCAATAGCGGAGACAACTGACAGGGTTTGCTCTGTATCATTCGCGGTTTTATTTTTGTTTACTTTTATTTTCAAATTTTAAAACTAAAAATAAAACATTTTTTTTTGGATTTTTAGATGAGGAGGAAGAAAAACCCAAAAAAAAAAAAAAAACAAAAACAAAACAACAACAACTATCATGAATTTGGAAAACCATTTTATTTGGTTTTGAAAATTTTGTATAGCTAAATGAGTTTATGGACTTTTTACGTTTTTTGGGAAAAAAAAAACAAAACATAAAAAGAAAATATTCTCAAGAAAATCCTTAAATTTTTTTTTTTTAAATTTCAAATGACTGATGAATTAAAAATTAAAATTGAATGAAAGAACGGTTTAGGTTATTTTTATTTTAATGAAGGCATGAGTTTTTCACGATTACAACTGTTTTCTAAAGATAACATTTAATAGAATGATCAAAACCGCTATTTTATAAGTTTTTTTTTTTTTTAAAAAAATTACTCCAGATTATGCAAAAAAGCTACCTCAATCTTTAAGTGTTTCGAGATTAATTTCACAAACAATCATATCTATGAATGAGAGTCATTGATTCTGCTGTTTTCTTTTGAATTGATATAATTCTTTCATCTTTAACATAATATTAATAAAAATTAAAAAAAGATATGGATTATCTTAATTGAACTAAAACCGCTCTTTTAGGGTATCTTTTTCATTAATGAATTTCCATTTATATATAAAAAAGAAAAAAGAAAAAAAAAACAAGATAACATTTCTCGAATCTGATTCAATTACCCAGTTAACTTGATTTGCTAGAGAGGAAAAGGTATTATTAATTTTTAAAGCCATTTTGATTGTAAAAAGCGAAAAAATTTCTGCTAGAAAATCGCTGGATGCCGGTTTAATGAACTAGAGATCCCTATGGTAATGATATTTAGTAAATAGATCCATGTACGTGGCTCAAGTTTGGATAATTGGATCCTTTTATTTGATCTATTAGGTAGCAACAGTTTCTTCATCCATATTATAATATTATGGGATATAAATTCCACTATTTCATTTTAGGTTAGAAAATCTACCTCAAACAGTTTAGATTCAAACTTCCGAGTGTATTGATCTATCACGATAAATTTTCTAATACACAAGAAGTAACTAATGACATGTACGGTAGTTAGTCTTTAGGCTCACTTTGAGGAGAGAGATAGACACACAAAAAAAGAAGAAAAAAATAGGAGAGAGAAAATAAAAAAATTTGAACGGAAAATCTTTTTATTACTTTTGGTGAGTATGGATATAATTTCTCTTTTTTTATGTATCTATTTCTCTCCTCAAAGTGTGTCTAAAAAATAACTACTGTACATGCCACTAATTACTTTTTGTGTATTATAAAATTTTTCTATCTCTAAAAAAAAAAGACCATCCTGAATGAAATTCTGGAGAAATTGTGGCTCTGCCACGACAAAACACCAATTCCATTTATTATTACTTTATTAAGGAAAGAGAAGTACAAAGGTGTTTGAAACAAAGTCTAACCCCAATAGACACAGAAATCCAAATTATTAGACATACAATTTTGAGAAACACTTATTCAATGGTCGACCGCTCTGAGTCGACGTTACAAATTCAACTGGAAAATGATTGGATGATGATGGCCATTACAAACAGATCGATCATAAAATGATTTTATGTAGCATATGCATGAAGCAAACCTAATACTATTATAATTAATTAGGCAGGCTTGAAGTTTTAGAGAGCAGACCTAGGAACGTTATTTTTGGTTCCTGGCATTTTAGGGCTCAACTCTTGGTGGGTCAATTCAGAGCTCATCGTCAATTCTTCTTCTTCAGTCTCATACCTGAAGTTGTAGGAACTGAGTCCTGTGAAGACGCCATCATCGGTTAGATAGGTGACCTCCCTCCCGTCAACCAGAAAGTCACGTTGAACGTATGAGAAAGGAACATCAAATGAAGACTCCGTTGCTATCAGCCTCACTCTCACGATTTTCATCGGTGGAACTGTAACATCATACGTCGTTTCCACTTCAGTTGTTGTTTCCTGTGTTTCTCCCCATTGAAAATCTGCAGTAACCTCAGCCGAAATTTCAATTCTTGCACTTTTAAGGAACGGAATGCCAATTCTAAATTGGGCAAAGACGCCGGCTGATACTGAAACTTCATTGTTCCAAGTATTGCTAGTAAACTCTTTATATGAAAAGTTCAGCTGCACTTGGTTAGATTCTTGAGTCTTGTTAACGGCTTCGGCTGTGGCCACAATGAGGGCTCTCTCGTTGTAGATCCTGGCATCCATGAGACGATAAACAACATTATCGACTCGTCTTGACAGAACATACTCTTCCACCTCCAACTGAGCTTCTATTTGAATAGTAGAAGCATTTGCAGCAAGACAATCAGTTATTCCGTTGTCGGTGAATCTTCGACCGAATGAGTTCCTCGCCGCTGTCAGGCGGAGGGTAATAACGTGGTTTTTAATTTTGTTCAGCCAAAACGTGCTCGGACCTTCGTTTTCAGCTGCGTCAGCCCAAATCCAACTTGAATTTCGGCTAAGCCTCCAGAATTTATCAAATTGGTCAGATTTGAAGCGATAGCTTCCATTGTTGGTCATGATCGCCTCAAATCTGACAGTTGGATCACTTATGTCATCAGATGAAAACTGCAAATATTCCTTTCCATTCAACATGCGAGCACTGAGATACTTGCCATTATCGCCCTTGAATGCGACATGCTTTGGCATGAACACTAGTGTTTCCAAATCGGTGATTGTGAATGTCGTGGGACCACTAAAAGCTATAGCAAATGACCATCCTCTTGCAAAAGGAGGTACACTTACGGAAACCCATCGTCCGCGTTGGACATGCTTGAATTGGAATTGGAGTTGTCCAGTCATTTGAACAGTTTCGAATAATGTGCATGACCAAATAGAACGGTCTTCCTCTGGTTTGTCTGCTGCCGCAACTATCCATATATCTGTGCTTGATTGCGTTCTAAGATATTTATTGTTATAACAACATCTTAGGTGCACCAGTGACCCGTTCCCCGTCTTTGCCTGCTCCACTTCATACTTTACACAGGGATCCAGTATCCTCTCTCCAACGAAAACAAGCATCCCATGGTTTGTCCCTTCTTCTTTTGCGTAACGCATGTAGCTGGAGATCCATTCGACAGCAATGAACTTCGGCAATGGCATTTTCTCTCTTCCGTGATCACTTCTAGACGTTGTTAAAGAAGGTGATCTTGCTCTCTCGTGCTTTTTTCCATACTTCAACCTACTAGTGCTATTTATAAAGAAAATCCCACGTCTCATGTGAGAGCGCGTAAGACTCACGATTCATGAATCAAAATTATTTGAACTATTGTCGGTATCAATATCCACCACGTGATTCTATAAACAATTATCCATATCCCACGTTTTTAATAAATTTATATTTATTTTTTATCCTTAGTGACCAAATAATATATATATATATATATTAAAAATCATCTAAAAAGAGAGATCCCAAGTGTAGTTTTACAATTTTTTAGGGTTCTAGAAAATATTATAGATATTGGGGTTGACATACATACAATGCATATTATATTAAAAATTTCTTTTTTAATTTTGTTTGATATATTAGCTAATTAAGCAATTTGATTAACCGAAAAGAGAAAATAATTCTTTGATTTCAAGCATCCAAATGAAGTGAAGTTAGGCTCTTAATTCCTAGGTTAGATTATTATTTTTTACTAAACATTTGACATATGGTAATGGTTTGGTATCATTTTCCATTTCTGTTTTTATTTTCAAAAAGATAAAATTGATAACAAGTTTTGAAAACTTCTTTTAAAAAAATTTAAAACTAATTTTTTATACTATTACCATATATTTTTAGAGTCATGTTGGGTTTGAGCATGAATCATACTAAGAATTTGACCCAGTCTGCGACACCTGTGATTCAGTCCAATACCAACTTTGGAGCAAATAAAAGTCAGTCTAAACCTAGTACAGGGCGTCTAGGGTGTGGGGTCAGTCCGGGACCAAGCAGTCTAGAGCTTTGTTCAATTTTGTGATCCACATGAACCATGTGTATAACGGGGGACCATTATTCATGCAATGCCAACGGACAATTATATCATTTACTCAAGCTAATCTTTAATTCAATTACTTTTTAGTTATTTAACTAGTTTTTTTTTAATTCATGTTACACTGTCGATTAAATAAAATATATAAAATTATTTAAAAAAATTATTTTAGTTTGATGATCTATTTTTTTATTTGAATTTATAAAAAACATATGAAATTAAAGATGAAAAAAATTTTTTAATTAAAAATTTTATATTTAACTATTTTATATTTGCATCTTTCATAATTTTTCCTATAAAAAAAAGATTTATCCTTATTATTAATCTATAGAATATTAACTAAAAAGAACAATAATTATTTTTAATTTTTTTTTAATATTTCATAAAATTATGTCGAAAAATTCATATATAAAGCTTTGCCATGACTATTAGTGCGGACCACGAGTAACAAAAGACTGGGTGGATCTTTTCGAAAATTAATTTTTTGCTGGTTGATTTCGACATGATAGTTTTAGGTCAGGTCGACAATTTATTTTTAGTGATGACTTCTGCGATAAATCAAAAGGATTAAATATAAATATATATATAAAAAATTATAAATGGGTTTTCTAGTACCAAAGGAATCTCATGAATAATTTAAGGATCCCTGATCCTGAAGTTAGTAAAATCTTAGAAAAGATCGGTCCATCTGATCATGTTTTATGACATCAACAGTACAGTTATTGGTTTTCTTGGGTTGTTCTCATTTGAATTTTGTACATGTTTAGTACATGACATGACTAAAAACATGAGTGATCGAAGATACTGATAATACATTAATTGTAAGCTTAGGCACATTTCATTCATCTTCTTCTCCGAAAGCCAATTGAATTATTTGTGTTAATCATTTTTATAGAGAGGCTACTATATAGATTAATTAATAGATTTACAGATTAACTAACTTGCCAATTATATACATCTAATCTTTGGATCTAGGGGATATTCTTTCAGATGAGCATAAACATCCTTCTAGTTGTTTTCCTAATTCATCAAGTTCCCTCGAAACAAGGACCCCACCTTCTTAAACCCACAAAACTAGCATCAGTGTCATCTTAATCCAATTGAATAGATTCATCCTCTGTATTAGTATTCCCTTCAATTGTCTGTTTGGCCTTTAGTATTTTATCTTTTTTCACATTGTTTTCATTTTTTAAATCTTGAAAGAGAGAGAGAAAGAAAATGGGGAGGATGGAGTTTTCGAAAATGAAGACTGATGAAGTCAGTGCTAATTTAATTGAGTCTGATGTCAATGAGCTCAAGGTTGCTGCTAAGAAACTTTTGAAGGATGCCACTAATTAGCTTGGTGGCTTGGGGTTGGATGCCTCTTTTGCTGCTATGTAAGTGTTATCCTTTTTACTTGATTTTATAAAAACATATCCAATGCTCTTTTTATCATAATTTCTATTTTTAAAATTAATATAGAGAATATCTTTGGCTCTCAAACAATAAAGAGTCTAAAATAACTTTTTATCTTATATTTCATTAATAAAAATTATTATTTTTTATGCCATTCAATCTCTTCATCAATAGTCTATCGAGTTTTTTAGATTTTGTCAAAATAAAGAGTTAAGTGGAGAGTAGCATTAGATATGATATTAATCTTCAATCTATATAATTAATAATGCTTTCTATTTATATTAAAAATACTAGTTAAAAACAAAGAGCATAATTGAAGATGCTCTGAAGTTATAAATAACATAATGTTAAATAAAAAAATTACTACAAAAAAGAAGATCGAGGAAGCAATCAATGGCAAAGCATTATTGCCAACTTGACAGCAGTTTACGAGCTACCATAGTGCCGGTATATATGGCCATTAAATAATATTATTGTGTAGCTCTGTCTGGGACCATTTTTAAATGGATTTATTGACGATGTTTTAGTTTGACTCATCCATTTCCGGAACAATAATTCACTGGTCAAAATCTTTTTCAGCTTTAATTTATAAAAGAAAAAATCATAATAACAATAACATAGATGATAAAGGAAAGACATTGTTAATTCTACTTCACTATTTGTTGTGAAGACCATTACGACCTTATTTAATGTGTTTTATAATTTTAATTAAATCTTTAAAATATCAAATTTTCAAATACCTCATTTTTATGCTCTTCGAAAAACGACTTAAGAGATCTTTGAAAAATTAAAAACGCTCTACTCTCCCTTGAGAAAACCAAACGCCAGCCACATCTATCTCTCTCTCTCTCTCTCTCTCTTAATGATAGTGACGAGCTAACTCCTTCAAAGTTATCTTTTTCATGCTATCTACCACACCTGCATTGCTAATAAATCATGAAATAAAGCCAATAAATGATGGACCACTTTTAAATGGACCAATTAATAGTGTTTCAGTTTTTCCTATCCATTTCTAGAATAATAATTCACGGTTCATGAGCTTGCACACCCCATCACACCCCAAAAGCTTAAACTGATAGGTGATGTCCTAGAATATAATTTATACTTAGTCTCTAACACATCCCTTCAAGTGAAAGGCCCAATATTTGGGGCATGAAATTTGCATGCAGTCCATATTACCTTGTGCTTAATATTTGAGAAATTGGAGATGGTGAGATTTGAACTCGGGACCTCGAGGTCAACTAAGCTTTGATACCATATTAAAGAACCATCTCACCTAAAAGCTTAAACCGATAGGTGAGGCCACAGAATATAATTTATACTTAGTCTCTAACATGTACAACATTTTTTTCCCTCTAAAGCTTTTAGGGATATCTTAATTCTAGTGCTATCGCGTAGGATATATGAATGATTTTTTTTTCTTTTGATTTGATAACATTAAGGTTAGAAAAACTAGCATTTGATTAAAAATAAATAAATTATACAAGTATTGGTCCTTCTTTTTGATGAAAATCAATAAACTTATATTAAAAGCCAACAAAATAGTGCCAAGAACAAAGTATACAAACAAAGTTACAAAGATTAAAATCAAACTAGTAATTTTTTTTTTTTACCTGCTAATACTATGCTTAGCTAGATTATCAGTTACAAAATATTTGTTGCTCTATTCATTGTAGAAAAAACAATATATCTGGAATTAATAACAGAAATAATAATGCAATTAAAATTAGAATCTAACTTCTATATCCTGCCATATGAACTCTTGTGAACTTAACTGGTAGTAGTTGAAGAATCTGATTCAACAATCTAATGGATTCGTTGTGCAAAGAGATGAGAAACACTCAATTCTAGAAATTTTTAATTGCAAGAACTTCTATTTTATTGGAGTCTCTGAAACCGGTGGAACTTGAAAAAATACATAAGAAATGTCTCTTATGATCTCTAACAACATTGCCAATACTGAAGCATTTGATTTTTTCATTGAGAGCCATCTATATTCTATTTTAGAAATCTAACATTCAGCTTAATCCAAACTTTAGCTACCCAATTTTGAATTTTGGTGGATCAATTGTGAATACCATTCTAGCAACGAAGAAGATCGTTTCCTAAGTATAAAAAGTTTTCAAAAGCCTTCGCATGATAAGAAACTTTGTGAAAGAGAAGAGAGAATAAATATTTATAATTTGGATTCACGTTGTTAAAAAACCAGATTATTTCTTGGTAGCAAAATGGACTAAAACAAAGAGAATAAAATTAAATACCGTACTTTCTTCTACAATTTTCCAAAAGAGAAGAAATCCTATTATTGAAATAGATCATCTATGTTGCTTGGTATTGTCAATAAACAGTCCCACCAGTAAACACCTTTAGACCACAAGCACCAAAACTAAAGGTAATGAAGAAGTAAAAAAGATATAGTTTCTATCTCCAATTCACATAATATGCTCAAACTTGTTAAATGACCATCTCATCCAAAATGATATGATTTATATTATTTTTAAACATACCTTATAAATTTGTATAGGCTCACATTATTTTATACTTAATTAATTAAAAAAGAAAATGGGATAATAGGATTTGAACTCGCGATCATTTGATTATCAAGACTCGATACCTTAATACCATGTTAAATGATTATTTTACCCAAAAGCTTAAGCTATTAGGTAAACCTCAAGATATGATTTATATTATTCTCTAATAAAATTATTATTTTATGAATAAGTAAAAAAGATATAGTTTCTACCTCCAATTCATAGAATATGCTCAAACTATCATTTTCTTCCACAAAGCCAATGCTATAGAGAAAGTCATTAGTGTGTAATTTTTCTTGTACTGCCAACAACAAGAAAGCTTTTGTCTCGAAGAGAGCAAGTGATTTCCACACATTGGAAGCTGATAATAGAGTCACTATAATGTTGTATTGAATTAACAATAGAACAACAAGATTCAATAGTATAAACTCCCCTATTATCATGAATCCAACCTCTTGGATCCTCCACTTCTTGGTACAAAACCGTAACTACAATGGCATTCAATAACTTGGCTTGTAAATCGATCTTGCATGATCTTAAAACTCAACGCCAAACTAACTCCTAACTCCGTCCAGAATCACACGACATACCCATGTCAGCAATCATATCATCTTTAGTTTCTGCTAGCCTATATAAAACTGGAAATGCATCACATAATGACAAATTTCCAACCCAAATATTAGACTAAAAAGAAACAAATTTCCCATTTCTGACGTTAGACTTGGACCTACAGAGACGAAGAAAATATCATTCCAATAAACAGATAAACAATTAGAGAAGTATGGTAAGCTATCCGAATCATACTTCTTCAAAATAAAGGATTGCCAACCATAAGCATGGTTACCACTTAGCCTCCAAACCACTTGAAAAGTAATATTTATTTTTCATCATAATTTAACTAAAATCTATTCTTCCTTAATGTTTGTACCGTTTGACAATGCTTCAAGCTACTTTACGAACTTTCGTCTATCAGAAGTTCCATTCCAAAGGAATCTACGCTCGAAAGAAATAAAAATCTTGGCCACACCTTTAGGCATTTTAAACAAAAACAAATAGTAGACTAAAATACCGACAGGACTGATTTAAATAAATAAATACGACCATCCAAAGAGAGAAGCTTCATTTCTAGATTTGAAGTTGTTTACACAACTTAGCAATCCTAAGCTTCTATGTAGAAATTCAATGAGGGCTTGCTCGCAAAGGAAGACCAAGATAATTAAAAGAGAGACAGCCGGTTTTGCATCTTCGTCGAGCTACCATGGCATTGCCAAAATGAGAGCGGATGAGAACACCAATAATTACTGTTAATAGAATTATTTTATAAAACTGTATTGTCAATAGAATTATTTTATAACACAATTGGTTACACACACAAATATATACTTATTGCTCATATTTTCTTACTACCAAGTATTCTCTTTCTATCTCTTTTTTTTCTTATATAATTAATTTAATACTCCATCTACTGTGTGTATATACATATATATTTAGCATTTGTAGTGTTTCTATCTTTATATTTGGTTTTGTTTAATTAAATCTCTAAGTTATTTTTTTGTTAGTTTTACTAAGATAGCTCTTAAATTCCTACTTAGAATTTTTATTAGACATAAGTTAAGAGTTTTTAGTGTTCCTCGAGCAATACAAGGGAGATTTTTCTACTTAAATCATCAAACAAAACCAATAAATGATGTGGTTGAGTGATGGGCCATTTTTTAATGGGTATATCGATAATGGACCTACTATAATGTTAAGAAAGTGCTAATAAATACGAGCTACATCGTGCCCCAGTATTAATTACTAATAAATAATGAAACACAACCCATATGGTCATATCTGATGTGATTGTGTAGTTCATCGATTTTTTAATGGATCCAATATTGCCAAGTGTTTTAGTTTCAGTCATTCAATTCAGTATTTCTTGCGAAGATAAATATTCATAAATTTAATGGGTTTTCTAATTTTATTTTAATTAGTCTTCAAAATACCAACTTTTAAAATAAATCGTCTTTATTGTCTCGAGAAAAAAAGACTATACAAGAAAATGAAAATACTAGTCTGAATATTTATAAATTTATTTTCAACAATACAAATCAGTTAGAATATGTTTTTTTATCCTTCTTGCAGCCTAGAAATTTATTTTTTTAAAATGATATAAAAGACGAAGGGATATTATAAAAATAACATTAAAGCTTATTGCAGACTTCTTATGCATCCAAGAGACTTGTAGGATAGTAATTGAATATCAGAATTTGAATTGTTCATACGATATGATGTACGATTGTTGAAGGGATCATGTAGATTTTATTGTTGTAATAGTGAGTGCTCACTATTTATTTTGTCCTTCTTTTTTTAAGGGTATCTTTCTTATTAATAAATTTTTGAGTTATCAAAAAAGAAAAAAAAGGCTGAATCTGATTCATTTACTCAATCAACATGATTATTTTTAGAGAGAAAGAGACTAACATGCTTCTAAAGCCATTTTAATTGCAAGAAGCCAAAAAACTTCCACCTCGTTTGATTTCTTCGTATATCTGTTGAAACCAAAAATATGCATGGAGTCCTTCCCTTATGATCTCCCAATTTAATCGTGTGGTTCAAGTTTAAATAATTGCATCCTTCTGTTATGATTCATTGAAACTTGAGAGATCATGCATCTGTATTTTTTTATCTCCTTCTCTTGTATTTACAAGTAATGAAATCTTTTGTGGGGGGGGGGGTGGGGCGGTGGTTTGTTGTTGTCTGGAACCCAACAAAATGACCATTGTGAATGAAATTCTAGCTGTGCTAACCTAAAATTTCTCCATTTTTTTATTCCTTTTATTTTTTTATTTTCTTATCTTCTTTTATTTCTTTCTTTCTCATTTTTATCTTATTTCATTTTGGAATTTACTAAAGAAAAAAAAGGAAAGTAATAAAAAAATACATATATATATATATATATATATATATATATATATATATATATATATATATATATATATATATATATATATATATATATAAAATTAAGTACACTAGGGGTATGATTGAATAAAATAGAGCAGAAATTGAACCCACCGAGGATACGATTGAAACAATTAAAATTCGAGTAGAATTACAAGACACAGGAACCCAATTGAAAATAATTAAAAGTATAAGGACTACAATAATACATCCGGACGATACAATTGAAATGGAATTGAATCTACAGAGAGCTAAATCAACCTAAGACACGAACGACATGACTAATTTAGGATCACTCGAATGATAGCACTAGATTGTGAAAAAGTTATGGACTATGTGAGATTGTTAGAGGAGGAAACGAGGAAGTTGATTGAGACCGAGTAAGGGGGACAAAAACTTTCTTGTGTTCACATACCTTGATTCCAACTCCTCTCGCTCATGCTCCTTCACCTTTTCCTAGCTTTTCATTCTTTCCCTTCGGTGCTTTAGTTAAGTCTTGTTAAACAAGGATGTCTTTCATCCTTCATTGCAAAAAAATAAAACTTTCATTTTTATTAAATTGTTTCACGATAAATTAAAACTTACCGTGTGCAAATATTATTTGCGATCAAAACTAGAATCTTTATAAACCAAAGGTTTGATACCGGTTTGTTAGGTAATTAAACGATCGAGATTCAATATACAATCATGAATAATCCAATTCAACGAGACAAAAAAATAACAAAGATAAATAAGGAGTGGACACATGAAATTTAACATGGTCGATCTACTCTACAATCTCAAAAGTAATTTTTTTACTATGAGAGAAAGTTGTACAAGAATATAATTGAAATTCTTATACCTAAAACTTGATCCCAAAACTTTTTACCCACTCTTATACTTAAAGAAAGTTTAGAGGCTACTCCACGGTTCATTGGCCATTGCTCCACTCTATTTACTTGATCATCACTCTAAAAAATATGAGGCATAAGCCCAACACGAAGGACATCAATAGCCATTGTGTTTGTAAGATTTTGGTGGTTTTTTAACAAGATGCAATTTAGTAATGCAAGATTCGTTACTTGGATAGTGCTTCAAGTGAGGAGGGTGGCTTTAAGGCTTGTTGGGCTTGCTTATGGTTGCGAGTTGTTGCTATATTTTATTTGTCTAGAGACATGATGCTTGTTTGTACTTGCTTGTTTTGTTTGTTTTCCCCCATCTTGAGGTGTGTAATTGTAGGCTTGCCTACTTTTACATTATTAACGAATTTGGGCTTATAATTGTTTTTTTTTTTTAATTTTCAATGAACATTTCTAGCAATATGATGCCAAATTTATTGACTTCCTAATGTTGATACCTCATTACCTCATTAGCCAATAAGCAATTTGCATTCATAGAAACTAAAGTTTCAAAGCAACATGGCTACCAATAAGCAATTCGGTTCAAAGGTCTTCTCTCTTCACTACACCAAAAGATAGCAATGCAGGCAGTTTTCTTGACTTGTAAAGGCGATTATATCCGTCTCTACAAAGTCTAGTGGTAGTTATATAAACCACCTTAAAGCTGCTTACAATACTGCCATCTCTAAGCCTTAACAACATTTTTCCAACCACCAAAGAATTTTGAGATGATTATTTAACGACGGTTAAACCACCATAAAATGATTTTTTTAAGCGGTTAAAACTCGCTTCTATAATGTCAATTTTGTCGTGCTTTATTTTTTGACACAAAATATATGTAGCGTTTAGTTTTAGGATTTTTTATATTTTAGCAAAAAATGATTTGGAATCGATGAAATCGCCTCTAATCTTATGGACATGGCTACGGTTGCTAGTTAAATGCTTTCATTATTCAATGTTGTTTTGAAACTTGCAAAATTTGATTAAAAGTAGTGAATAAATCCAATCTCATTCCAATGTGACTAAAAATTTTGTCGAACATACATAGATTGAAGATTAGAAAGAAAATATGTTTGAAATTAGGAATGGAACAAGAAATACACTCACACAATAGCCCTATAACAAATTGGATAACTTAATTCAATCCTTTTCGAGGAAAGGAGCCTTCACAATTTCTTGAAATTTACATGATATACGAGTGGACAAAGTTTCAACACCAAGCAACTCATTGTAGTTAATCCATGGAAGTATTTGGGCTATATATAGTTGCAAGCTAGCATGCATCAACACATCATCATCATGATCACCTTGCTATTTATGAAATGAGCTTCATTGTTTATGTCACTATACGAAGTCAAACGAGACTCGTAAAAAATTTTTAGGTTTTCGGATATTCGCATTTCGTTTGGAAGTTATTCTAGGGGTACGAGTTATTATTATATGTGAAGTCGCCACCTAGTATTAAAGAACTAGAAACTTAAAAATAGCACTAGTGCGAGAGATTCTTGAGTAAGGAGTTGATTACATTGTGAAAAGATATCGACCACCTAAAGATACCCTTTCCTTAGAAAGGTACCGAGCCTAGTTTAGTCATAAATTTTTCTCCTAACGTATTTTTATTTGTACCAAGTTATTTTCGATTTAAACTCCAATTCCCAAGTTGACTTAAATTTTTAGTTTTGGGCATGACATCGTATTGAAACAATCATTAATCCCTTTGGTCGAGTGACACATCCGTTCAAACATCGGATCCACTTTAAGCCTCGACACAATCAATGTGTCGAGAGAACATTCGATTATTTGAATGTTGATGAGATATTTTTATTTTTTTTATTATTATTCTTATTTTTTGTTAACGATAATCCCTATCGGATAGGAGACTTTGTTAGAAATTTTAATTAATTTTATCGATGGGGAATCGTCATCGGTCTCTAAGAATTAGGAGACTCAACAGTTCACCCACCTATTACTTACAAAACTAATTAAAAAAAAACCTAAAATTAACTATTAATTTTCTTATGTTTCTCATTTTTATTTTTATTTTTTAATTATTTATTGATAAAAAACTATCATCCGTCCCTAAAAATTAGGAGACTTAATAATTCTTTTATTAAATAATTATCTAACCTAATTACTAAAATAAATTCTAAAATTTAAGGTTAATTAAATAAATTCCAAAGAAAAGCATCTAAAAAAGATTAGATCTTAATTAATGTGAAAAAAATGTATGGAGAAAAAAAGAAAAAGAAAGAAAAAAAATATATATTCAGATTTAAGTTATCAAAACAAAACCAAAACATGTAAAAAAAATCTTATTGGGCCTTTAGTCCATTGGCCCATGCTTTATTCTTTTCTAACTCTTTTTTTCTCTTTCTTTTTTTTTCTTTTTATCTAACTGGACTAATTCCAGTTTCTTGTGTTGATTTTTTTTCTTTTCTTATATATATATATATATTTTTTTTGTGGAAAAAGTTGGATTGAAACTAGCTTCGCCTAGTTTCTTTCCTTTAAAAAAAAAAAAAAAAAGCCGAGGATGGCTAGTGCGAGTTGGGCTTAGCCCAACCTATTCCTTTTTTTTTTTTTTTAATATGAGTTGGACTAAGTCCACAAACATGGCCCAAATGTTTTCTTCTCATTTTTTAGATCAAACGGAACCCTCGACCCTCTGTCTCTCTCTTGTTCTTCATTTTCTCTCTCTATCTTTATCTTTTTTCCAAAATTTAAAATCTTATTTGAATCCAAATACTTAACTAACCGAGGCCATATTCACTCCTTGATCTCAATCAAAATTATAAATTAAATCTTCAACAAATAACAAACAAGAATTTAAAATGATTGAGATAATAAATCTAAAAGCGAAAAAAATGAAGAACAATGACTCGGTATGCTTAATTGATGATCATTATTTTGAAATTGGGATGGATGAAAATTGATTCTCGGGGTGGTTTCAACACGATTACGGGACTCTCACTCGATTTTGAATGCTTGAATATGATGTAGAAACCAAAAAAAAAAAAAAAAATGAAGTTCAATCGGTTGAGTTCCATGAACCCGAAATCCAGAATTTTGAAGAAAGCCAAATGGTTGCCTAGAAAATTTTCAAAGGAAAATCGAGAAACCTCAAATTAAGCCCCCAAACCAAGAAATTGAAGTTAAGAAACTTATGATAATTGAAACCAAACCTAGAAATGTAAAAAATAATCGAGTAACGAGTCCAATGGCTAATGAACTCATACCTAGAAATGAAGAAAAATGAAGAAATTTCCCAAAAAAAAAAAAAAAAAACCAAAAAATATGAACTACCCATAAGTAAAAAATCTCTATTTCATTCTTGACTTTCACTCTCGTTCCAACCTATAATTCAAACCCTTTTCTTCTTGCTACCCCCTCTTCCTAGCCAACACAAGCCTTTTATAGGCATGAATTTACTCAAATCTCTCCTCCCCGAAATCAATCAATTCATATTAGATCTAGTTGCCAAGGCTGAAATTTTGCCTTTGATTAGCCAAAATTAAGAAATGGATTGCGTTGAGGCATGATCCTTAGTTGGTATCAAATCCACCTAAGGATCATAGTGAATGCAAAATAAAAAAAATGAGATCGGGGAAGATTTGTCCTCTAGGAAATATTGAAGAAGAATCCTAGAGGAATTTCTGGGTTGGAGCAGATGAAAAGTAGTATGCTAGACTTTAGTCCTATTGTTTGCTCTAAAATATCAATTTAGTCCCTATGAATTTTAATTGCTCGCAATTATGTCCTTTTTCTATGCAATTTCAGTCCTTAAAAAGCGTAATCTTATCAATTGAGTCCATATAGAGTGTAATTTAGGTTATGACTTTCTTAATTATTGATTCAATTGTACTCCTAATTACCTTAATGACACTTCCCTTTAATGTGATTGTGGCCCTAAATGAAATTCTTTTGTATTTTCTATATATTTTATCCTTTTACCATTTTTTAGTTTTTTTTCTGTAATAAATTCAAAATAAAATAAAATAATAAATAAATAACAAAAAAAAAAGAGGATAAATTTTGGGTTATGATAGTTCAGAAAATGAATATTCAAGATCCATGGGATCAAATTTCCATTTCTCAAATACAACCATCAAGTCTCAATGTAAGGATTCAAATTCTCCTTGCAGTGTTGGTTGTGGTTGCAAAAAATAGAGGATACAAATAAGCAAAATCATCCATAAAGACTTGGTTAAGTTGTCTTTTAGACATGATAGACTTGGTTTCTATAATTATAAAAGCTGATGTAGACTTGGTTTCTATAATCATATATTTATCACAATGGCCAACGGGCCTCTTATGTGTTATGAGAAATTCATTTAAAAAATGTTTCTATTTTTCCTGTTCATGTAACAACTGTAATGCTATGCTTGCCAGATGAGATGATATCTAAGATTACATTACCTGCTGATTGGAAGTACTTGAAGGTGGCCTCTCCCTACGTATTCTACTTCCAAGTAGTTTGTCTCTTATCGAAATCAGCTGATCTACAACAAGATTGATGCTCATTCTTTCACTTGGGAGTTCTGTAGAACAAGCAACACCAATCTCTAGGATTGATGTCAGGCACTCCATTGTTCTTTGATTTCTTGTTGCGCTTCTGGGTCTGCTACTACTTGTCTCCCCTGCCTCTCTTAGGAGAAGAATAGGATCCACAATCCGTGCCACATGTTCCGGCAGAGCTGTCTTGACAAAGTTATGAATGTTATCACCTTCATTAAACAAGTCATCTGTAGGTCTCTTCCCAGTGAGCATTTCCAGCAATACAATTCCATAACTATAGAAATCACCACTTGATGACACCTCATTGCCCATGCCATACTCTGCTACGCACACAAGAAATTTTTTTTTTTTTTTCGTAAGAAGCATTTCTATCAACTTCCATGTTCAGAAACTGAGAGTTAAAGCACAATATTAGCACTATTGTGTTCCATTCCTAAAGAAATATATCGATATAGTTAGTTAATTACCTGGAGGAGCATAGCCGACGGTTCCTTTTACACCGATGGAACTAGACTGACCAATATCAGAGCTATGGCTTCCTTCACGAAGGAATCTAGCTAACCCAAAGTCACCAACACATCCGGTCATTTCTTCATCGAGAAGAATATTACTTGGTTTAAGATCGCAATGAACAATAGGTATCTCGCAGTGATGATGGAGATAAACAAGTGCACAAGCAACATCAATAGCAATATTCGGTCTTTGAAGAAGATTCAAATTCTTTGTTGCCACATCTTCTTGATCATTGGTGTCAACAGCTGGATGCAGCCAGTTCTCCAAGCTTCCATTGACCATGAACTCATAAACCAGAGCCTTAAAGTCATTGCCATGATAATCAATACTAGAGCATGCTGTCAGCACTTTTACAAGATTTCGATGCCTGATGTTTCTTAAGGCTTCACACTCAGCTTTGAAGCTCTTGAAAGCTCCATGGTGCATAAGGTTAAGTACCTTGACGGCAATTAATTGTCCTCCCACGTCTGATGTTCCCTTATACACAGATCCAAAACTACCGGCACCGATCATGTTGGCCAAAGAGAATCCATCAGTAGCTTTGAAGAGACTTCCATAAGATAGTTGCGAGAGTGAATTCATGGAATGGTTTGAAGGAGCTGGTTGTTTTCTTTTTTGTTTTAGCCAAAAGAGAAATATAACGGACAACACTAATGCGATCCCAGAAACCCCAAATATAACAGATAGCACCAAAGCTGCCAATCTGCTAGTCTTGGGCTTTTTGGAACTGCATGCAGGCAACTGCAACTCTGGTATCCCTCCACAAAGGTTAGTATTTGCCTTGACTGAAAAAGCAGTCACATTCTTGAAGACACCTTTAGTAGCCACCATTCCCTCAAAATTATTGTAAGACAGGTCCAAAAACAACAACATGCCTAAGCGGGACAAAAATACAGGAATTTCACCCGACAAATTGTTGTGAGATAAATTCAAAAGTTGAAGACTCCTTAATGAACTTAAAGATGAAGGAATGGGCCCTTGCAGGAAGTTGCCAGACATGCCTAAGGTTTCAAGTACTACACAACTGCCAAGAGTTCTAGGAATCTGACCAGACAACATATTCCCAGAAACATCTAGGAAAACTAGATTCTTCAGGTTTCCAATTTCCGACGGAAGAATACCAGTCAAACTATTTTTGGATAGGTCAAGAAGCAACGATAGTGATGAGAGGTCCATAACTTGGGGAGGTATGACACCAGTGAGATTGTTGTAAGAAAGATCTAATAGTAACAAATTATTGCATTGACCGAGAATTGAGGGGATGCTACCATGAATCTTATTTT